GCTAACCAGTCCCGGCAGGGGGCCCCTGCCACCGGAAACCTGACCAGGCAGTGCGGTCACCTTCATCCCTTGCTGTGGCCTCGCTGAGCCGCTGGCCCCGGGGCAGAGCTCTGTGTGGCCTCCCCAGCAGATGCAGCCTGCAGGGGGCTCCCAGAGGGCGGGGAAGACCTGGGTGACGCCCGTAGGCCACAAGTGGGGCAGCAGGTGATACTGCAGTGGGGAGGCAGCTTACTGGGGTAGGTGGCTCCAGGGGTGGGGGGTGGAGAGAGAGCTGCTCAGGCTTTGGGTCGGAGGGGCCTGGTGCCTGAGACCCCTGTGGACCCTCTGAAAACCCTCGTCAGCCTCTCCGCTGCTTGGGGGCTGGGGGCTGGGGGCTGGGGCCCACGCGTGAGCACGCCAGAGAGCAGGCCGGGGCTCGTCCTCAGTACTGACGGCCGCTTCTGTCCCCAGGGCCCCTCCAGGCTGAGGCTCGCTTGTCTTCCCTGGGGGGCAGCTGGGAGAGGAGGTGCGGGTGCCCTGGGCGCTGCCCACTCCCCTGCCCACCTGCCAGGCTCACTCTAACACATCAGCAGGGATAGTGTGGGACGAGACCTGGCCTTGTCCTTGGGTGGGAGACCGGAGGCCACAGAGGCAGGGCAGGGGTGCGGAGGGGCAAGCACATCATGTGCTCTAAGACGGACAGTGCGGGAAGGCGGGGTGGTGGTGGTGGTCAGGATCAGGGACACCAGCCCTGGGGCCGGGTCGGACCACCTCACAGTGGCTTGGCAGCTCCTGCCAGGGCTGTACTGCGCAGGGCGGAGTGGGGGAGGGAGAGGAGGGCCTGTGTGGGTTGGGGGCTCTCCTGGATGCTGCTCTCTACCCGGTCTCTCCACTCCCTGGGTCGCCTCCTGTTTGGGGGTTCGTTCTCAGAAGCTGCAGCGCTGGTCTGCTCCCTCCCTGCTGTGGGGCGGGCTAGGGGAGACCTTGACTCGTGGGTGAGGTATGGCCCTCCCTGGCCTGCCGCTCCCTGACGGGTTCTGGTCAGAGCCAGACGTGGTGGGGAGGACCCTGCCCATTTTCTGGCCCGCTGCCTGGTTTTGCTGAGGGCTCGCTGCCTGGTTTCTTCAGCCCTGGGGTGACGGCTAGGACCTGTCCTAGGAATCTGGCGGCTGGTCCCACATGTGTCCCTGTCTCCTCTCCTCCAGGTGTTCCTGCCCAGATACCGAGGGGACGCTGCTGGGGGTGGCGGCCCTGAGGACGGCCTGACCACCAGCTTCCTGCCAGGCCCCAAGGCTGCCACTCCCTTCCCCAACGGACATGTGGGGGCTGCAGGCAGCGGCCTGCTCCCCTCTGCACCCACACTCTGCAGCACCTCCGCCTGCGATGTGTCCATGCGCGTGGTGGTGGCAGAGCCGGCTGAGGCCAGGGTCGTGCCGGGCCGGGGCATCTGCCTGGACCTCGCCATCCTGGACAGTGCCTTCCTGCTGTCACAGGTGGCCCCGTCCCTGCTGATGGGCTCCATTGTGCAGCTCAGTCAGTCCGTCACTGCCTACATGGTGTCTGCTGCAGGCCTGGGCCTGGTCGCCATCTACTTTGCTACACAGGTGGTATTTGACAAGAGCGACTTGGCCAAGTACTCGGTGTAGGCTCCTTCCCGCGCACCGTGGGGGAGGGCCTGCCTCACTGGGTCCCAGGTGCCCCTAAGGGGTGCCTGCGGGGCTGGCTGGCCACAGGTTCTGCTGCTGGTGTGGCTCTCTACCGCCACCTGCTGACGATGAGGTGCATGGCCACACAGATCCCGCCCTGTCCCTTCTGGCCAGTCTCCAGGGCTAGATTGGCGACTTCTGGGGTGAGTTTCAGAAAGTGAGGACTTCTGCAGGGAGGCCAGGAGGAGGGGGCGTTTGATTAGCTGCACGCACTGGAAGGCAGGATCCTCAGATGGATTGCCCAAGCCCGGGGTGAACAGCACGTGCCCCCTGGAGAAGGGGTGTAAGGCGCAGGGTCTACGCAGACACCTGGGCTCCCACCTCATGCGCCCTGATCCTGCAGGTCCTCGTGCCTTGCTCTTGCGTGGGAGTGGCAGGGCTGCAGCACTTGGCAGTGTGGGAGTGTTGCTGGGGGGGAGGGAGACTCCCCGGAGAGAGGCAGTGCCCCTTTGTCCCCAGCGCCGCTCTGCTGACTCCCCCCACCCCACCTCTTACCAGGATGCGGCTTGGTGATCCCTGGGTTGCCATCAATGGGACGCAGGCCTTTAAATATTTAACTTATTTATTTAACAAAGTAAAAAGGAATCCGTGCCCAGCATTCCCGGGTGGGTATCCAGGAGTTGGGTGGGATCCCCATAGTTGGGGGCCCTGACCTAGCTGACCAGTGGGCCAAGTGTTGGCCGGGATCCCCTTCTCTTGGGGTAACTGATCTGGATCCCAAAACTGCCTGACCCCAAACCTTGGAAGTGCTACTGACCCCAATGCTGTCACTCAAGTCAGGAAGGGGGGGAGGGCGGGGGCGGGGGGACCCAGGTTTCAGCAGCCCCCCTCACTGTCCCTCTTCCCCTGGCCCAGCCTGGCTCCCTGCAGGCCTGGGCTGATGAACACTGCCCACCTCCACCCCCACCCCCACCCCCAAGCTTTCCCCCACTGACTCCACAGCCTCTCTCGGGGGCTGTTGCAGGAGTAGAAGCACAAAGTGTGGTTCCTTGCACCTTCCACCACTGCAGCCCCCAGGGCGTGGCTGTGTGTGGGAATCGCACACAAACTCAGGAGTTACCCCACCTGAGCTAAGGAGATCTTATCTCTGGGGGTTTAAGTGCCGTTTGCAATAATGTTTGTCTTATTTATTTAGTGGAGTAAATATTTTATACTGTTTGTGAGCAATCAGAGTATAATGTTTATGGTGATGAAATTAAAGGCTTCTTACGTGTTTAATTGGCATCGTGTTGATCTCTCTGGTCATCGTCAGCTGTGCTCCTGGGTACCCTGAACTTTGGGCTGCGTAAGTTTCCAATACTCACCAGCAGATGGCGCCATTGACCGGGGCCCTTTGTGTTGATTGGCAGTTGGGCATGTCTATGCTACTCTAACCTGGGGACTTTGAGAAACATAGGCAGTGAGCGTGTTTTCTTTCCAAAAGGTGGGTCGTGTGCCAGAGAAACGGAGCAAGCCCTCATGGCCAGCCACAGTAAGAACAGGGAAGCACACATGGGATGCCAGCACTTCAGGCAGCAGCCTTGCTATGCCACAGCGCCAGCCCCTAAAAATACATTTTTTTTTTTGACAGGCAGAGTGGACAGTGAGAGAGAGAGACAGAGAGAAAGGTCTTCCTTTGCCGTTGGTTCACCCTCCAATGGCCGCCGCGGCCGGCGCGCTGCGGCCGGCGCACCGCGCTGATCCGATGGCAGGAGCCAGGAGCCAGGTGCTTTTCCTGGTCTCCCATGGGGTGCAGGGCCCAAGCACCTGGGCCATCCTCCACTGCACTCCCAGGCCACAGCAGAGGGCTGGCCTGGAAGAGGGGCAACCGGGACAGAATCCGGCGCCCCGACCGGGACTAGAACCTGGTGTGCTGGCGCCGCTAGGCGGAGGATTAGCCTAGTGAGCCATGGCGCCGGCCTAAAAATACATTTTTAAAAACGTATAAACACTTGTGAGTTAATGTAGCAGGGCCTTAGTCCTTGTAGATAGCAGCGTATTCTCTACAGTTTCTCCCACGCTGAAGCAGAGCTAAGGACCTGGCCCAGACGGGTTCAGGGAACGAGTGTTGAGGCGATGTAATAAAGTGGGAAGGACCACCAGCCAGCTGGGCTGTCAGTCCGCCTGACATCTGGGGAGTGCCCTGCAGGTGGAAGATCTCTCTCTGTCTCTCCATCCCTCTCTCTAACTCTGCCTTTCAAATACATAAATCTAAAAATAAAGCGGGAGAGATTTATTTATTTCCCTGAAAGGCAGAATTACCGAGACAGGGAGAGACACAGAAATCTTCCAACCACTGGTTCACTTACCAAATGGTTACGACAGCCGGGGCTGGGCCAGCTTGAAGCCAAGAGCCAGGAGCTCCATCTGGGTCTCCCATGTGCGTGGCAGGGGCTGAGACCCTTGGACCATCTTCTGCTGCTTTCCCAGACACATTAGAAAGAGCTGAATGGGAAGTGGAGCAGCCAGGCTTTGAGCGGGCACCAACACAGGTGCTGGCATCACAGGGGGGTAGCCTAACCTGCCGCACAGCATCGCTGGCCCAGCCCCTCAGTTTTAAGCCACATTCATCGCAGAAGCATCAACTTGCTAAGAGTGTGGGAGGGGAGGGGTGGGGGAGGCAGGGGAGCCCTCCACGTGGGGTCTCCGACAAGGACACTGCGGCCCTGCCCTTAAGGGCCAGAGGAAGAAGTGTGGGTGAATCGTAAGTGTGTAACACAGCAGGCACAGTGTGAACAGAAAACCCACAGCAGGAACCACAGAGACGAGAGTTTGGGGTGGGGGAGGTCTTAGGGTTTCTTGTTGGGGAGAGAGGAGGGGGATCCAGGTGTCTGTCGCAGCCCCTGCTGCCCTCTGCATGCTGGGTCCTACCTGATGGTGTGAGAGAATGTGTGTGTGTGTGTGTGTGTGTGTGTGATTGGAAAGAGCAAGAGAGAAAGATCTTCCATCTTCTGGTTCACTCCTCAAAAGCCTACAACAACCAGGGCTGGGCCAGGCTGAAACCAGGAGCCGGGAACTCTGTGCAGGGCTCCCATGTGGGTGGCAGGGACCCTACGACTTGAGCCCTCACCTGCTGCCTCCCAGGGTGTGCATTACCAGAAAGCTTCAATCAAAAGCCCCATGGGCCCTTGAACCCAGCCCTGATATGCAATGCAGGTGTCCCAAGCATTTCTAACCCCCTGCACCTGCTCCCAGCCTACCTGTAGAGGCTAGAAATTGAAGGGGGGGGGGGGCTCCGGTGGGCAGTGGCCCAGCCTTCAGGCATCTTCCTTACTGGCCCGCAGAGCTAGTTACAGTGAGGCCGTCTCGGCTGTTTGTGCTGTTGGTTTCCAGGGTCAGGTTTGGTTACAGTAGCCTGGCAGTTTTGTCACCGATGGGTGGAGAGCTGCTTAGAGGCTGGTCTTGGTGACATCCAACCCTGTTACTAGATCTCCAAGCGGATCAGGAGGCAGCCTGGTGTGCCCGGCCACAGGATCGCCTGACCCCAAGCCACCCCTTGCTAACATTTCACCTTCTCGCTCCCCTGCCTGCGTGCGAGTGAGGGGTGAGAGTGTGGGTAGTCATCTTCACCGAGCCACGTCTGGATTTCCCTGAGCTCACGGCTCTGAGCCCCGCCTCTCCCATGGACCGCATAGCAGTTTGCAGCCCCCAGTTGAGTTTCCTTCTCTTTTATTCCCCTTTAGATATATTTATTTATTTTTGAAGATTTATTTATTTGAAAGAGTTACATAGAGAAGGAGAGGCAGAGAGAGAGGTCTTCTATCTGCTGGTTCATTCCCCAACTGGCCACAACTGCTGGAGCTGAGCCAATCCAAAGCCAGGAGCTTCTTCCAGGTCTCCCACGTGGGTGCAGGGGCCCAAGGACTTGGGCCATCTTCCACTTCTTTTCCAAGCCATAGCAGAGAGCTGGATAGAAAGTAGACAGCCAGGACTCGAACCAGTGCCCATATGGGATGCTGGCACTGCAGGCAGCAGCTTTACTTGCTACACTACAGTGCCGGCCCCCCTTTAGATTTATTTACTGAAAAAGCAGAGTGACAGAGGGGGAGAGACTGAGAACTCTTCCATCTGTTGGTTTACTCCCCCAAAAGGCAGCATTGGCCAGGGTTGACCCAGGCAGAACCCAGGATCCAGGAACTCCATCTGGGTCTCCCACATGGGTGCAGGGGCCCAAGCACTTGGTCCCTCTTCCACTGCCTCCCAGGCACATTAACAGGAAGCTGGATGGGAAGAGGGGCAGCCGGGATTTGAACTGGCGCTCTTCTGTGGGATGCCGGAGTTGCAACCCACTGTGCCACACCACCACCTGCTCCTTCTTTCCATCAGGTAAGCTGGTCTGTGGGTCGCGGGGCTGTGGCACTGGAAGACACCATCACTGGCAGCTCAAGGGGTGCTTGGGGAGCGGCTGCCTGCCAACGAGGGCCCTGGGGAGCATCTAGACCCAGAGGACGTGGCCCAGGCCAGCCCCTCCCATCGACATGAACCCCAGTGTGATGTCAGGCAGAAGCGGGGGCCCCTTGGGAGGTCACGAGGTCATGAGGGTAGAGCCTCTGTGAGTGGGGTTAGCACCCTCCAAGGAGACCCCAGGGCGGGAGATCGGCCTAGCTGTTGGAGACTGTTCCGGATGCTGGGCTGATCCCAAGCCAGGAGCCAGGAGCTTTTTCCAGGTCTCTCACACGGATGCAGGGGCCCAAGGACTTGGGCCATCTTCTACTGCTTTCCCAGGCCATAGCAGAGAGCTGGATCGGAAGTGGAGCAGCCAGGACTCGAACCGGCACCCATATAGGATGCCGGAGCCACAGGCAGAGGACACGGTGTTTGGGAGCCCCGTTGGGTGCCTGCAGCATGGAGCTCCCAACGCTGCAGAAGCTGCACCTAGATCTACCCCCCCCGCGCCCCCCCCCCACACCTATAGGATAAAAGTTAAATGGTAACGAGGCCCGAGAGGAACAGCAGCCACTGAGCACAGCACAGCACAGCTGAAACCGCACACTGCGCTATGTGAGGGTGGTCTTGGCATCTCAGCCGCTGTGGGTGGGCAGCACACACAGGGCAGAAACTCCGGACAAAGGAATGACTCAGAGCCCAGGTGCAGATGGCCAGGCATCACCACGCGACGCAGAACCACCGTCGAAAGCTTCTGAAGTATTTGTTTCCGGAATTTACTGTTAACATTTGTGAACTGCAGCTGACGGCGGGTAACTGAAACCCTGAAAGTGGAACCCCAGATAGAGGGGAGGCCTGTGCTGGGGGGTGATGAGAGCTTTCACACTTCCTCAATGCGTTGCTGGGTTTTGTTTCAGTACAGTCTACAAAGAATTGCTTGACTTAATTTATGAATATTTATAACTTCTACAGGTAAGACTTTCCTAAAAATATTCTAAAGTTGTTTGTAAAGAAGGAGAAAGGGTAAAGCTGTGAAGAACAGGGCAAAGAGATTGAGGGGCAGGCATTTGGCACCGTGGTTAAGAGGCCACTGGGATCCCACAGCCCATACTGAAGGGCCCGGGTTTGAGCCCCGGCTCTGTTCCTGCTAACCTGGAAGGCAGCAGGCAATGGCTCAAGTGTGTGGGTCCCTGCCACTCGTATGGGGGACCCAGGCTGAGCTCCACACCTCTGCCTTCTGGCTGATTCAGCCCTGGCTGCTGGTGCAGGCATTTGGGAGTGAACCAGAAGCTGGAAGACCTCTCTCTGTCTGCCTCTGTCTCTTTTTCTCTTTGCCTTTCAAATAAAATTTTTTAATACTATTTTTTAAAATTTATTTTAAAGGTAGAATTACAGAGAGAGAGATTGACAGAGAGAAATCCTTCATCCGCTGGTTCACTCCCTAATTGTCCACAACAGCTGGAGCTGGGCTGATCCGAAGCCAGGAGCCAGGAGCTTCTTCCAGGTCTCATGTGGGTGCAGGGGCCCAGAGACTTGGGCCATCTTCTACTGCTTTCCCAGGCCACAGCAGAGAGCTGGATCGGAAGTGGAGCAGCCGGGACTCGAATCAGCACCCATGTGGGATGCTGGCACTTTAGGTGGTAGCTTTACCTGCTACATCACAGCATTGGCCCCTCAAATAACTTTTAAAAAATAAATAAAAATGTGGAGCTGGCATTGTGGCGTAGCAGGAAAAGCTGCCGCCTGTGATGCTGGCATCCCATATGGGCACCAGTTCAAGTTCCAGCTGCTCCAAGTCTGATCCAGATCTCTGCTATAGCCTCGGAAAGCAGCAGAGGATGGCCCACGTCCGTGGGCCCCTGCTCCCGTGTGGGAGACCCAGAGGAAGCTCCTGGCTCCTGGCTTCAGCCTGGCCCAGCCCTGGCCATTGCAGCCATCTGGGAAGTGAACCAGCGGATGGAAGATCTCTGTCTCTCCTTCTCTGACTTTCAAATAAATAAATAAATCTTTAAAAATACATACATAAAGGTGTTTAAAAAGAAAGAAGGAAATTGTAGGGGTGGTAGGCAGAGGGGTGGAGAGATGAGGTGGAGTCAGATACCAAGGGTAGCCTTGCCTTTCTGTCTAGGAGTTCAAAGAACTTGCCATTGGCTCACTCTCTCTCCTCTCTGTCTCTATCTCTGTCTTTCTCTCAGACTTATTCATTCATTTATTTGAAAGGTAGAATGATAGAGAAAGAGGGAAAGACAGATCTTCCACCCACAGGTTCATCCTCCAAAGGGCTGCAAGGACCAGGGCTGGGCCAGGCAGAAGCCAGCAGCCTGGAACCCCATCCAGACCTCCCACCTGAGAGGCAGGGGCCCAAGCACCTGGGCCATCTTCTGTATCTGCCCAGGTACAATAGCAGGGAGCAGTATTAAAAGTGGAGCAGCCGGGGCTCAAACCAGTGCTCTGGTACGGGGTGGTAGGGTCACACAAAGCAGCTTAAGCCACTGCACCAGGACACTGGCCTCCTGATGTCTCTCATGTTCACTTCCAGGGCCAGGCCTTTCAAGTGACTGTCGCCAACCTCTACAAACATGATGGTTAATTCTGTGTGTCAATGTGACTGGACCATGGGTGCCCATCCACTGTGGCAAGCATTCTGAGTGTTTCTGTGAGGCTGTCCTGGGGTGAGATGGACATTTAAACTGGCAGGCTGAATGTCTTCCTAATGTGAGTGAGCTTCCTCTAATCAGGAAAACCCCTGAACAGAACAGAGGCTGGGGCTGCTGTTGTGGCACAGTGGGGTTAGGCCGCCACCTGTGATGATGGCATTACATGAGAGCACCGGTTCGAGTCCCAGCTGCTTCACTTCCGATCCAGCTTCCTGCTGATGCACCTGGGAAAGCAGCATAAGATGACCCGAATACCTGGGCCTCTGCCACCCACGTGGGGGACCTGGATGTAGCTCGTGGCTCCTGGCTTCAGCCTGGACCAGCTCTGGCTATGGTAGCCATTTAGGGGGTGAACCCTAAGTGATGGGAGATCTCTGTCTCTCCCTCTATAACTCCACCTTTCAAGTAAATAAATCAATCTAAAGAGCAACATCAGAAGGCTGATCTCCCTGTCGCTTGGAGAGGATCCTCCTGCCCCGCCGCCTTCAAGCTGAGACCGCGATTTCTCCCTGCTTTGGACGAGAGCTAAGCCATCAGCTCTCCTGGGTCTCTGGCTTGCAGACTCACCTTACGGCTTTCGGGACTCATGAGCGCCCACAACTCCCCAAGTCGTTCTTTACAGGAAATTGTGTGTGTGTGGACCCCTGTGCATTCCTATCCACCCACTCACATCCTACTGGCTCTGTCCCTGAGGAGCCCCGTCTGATACAATGTGATCCTACTGGCTCTGTCCCTGAGGAGCCCTGTCTGATACAATGTGATGCTGCTGTCCTGGGGCCCCCAGGGCCAAGGAGGTACACAACCGCCCCAGACTTCTTGACTGACACCAAATAAATCATCCACCTATAGCTGCCACAGCTGGGGGTCAGTTCACAGATGCAGAAACTGGGGCCCAGGAAGGAAGACACTCCCCGCTGCCCATTCTGCCAACCTCACTTCCTGGCTAGTGCTTGGAATGACTTTCACTGGAGACCTTGATGAGCATAAGGCTCGAGACGCATGCATCCCTTGGGAAAAACCGCACTGAGCTGCAGTCACATGAAAATGCAGAGAGGACCCGTGCTGTGGTGTAGCAGGTAAAGCTGTTGCCTGCAGTGCCAGCATCCCATATGGGCGCCAGTTCAAGTCCCGGCTGCTCCACTTCCAATCCAGCTCCCTGCTAGTGCGCCTGGGAAAGCAGTGGAGGATGGCCCAAGTACCTGGGCCCCTGCATCCACGTGGGAGATCCAGAGGTAGCTCCTGGCTCCTGGCTTCAGATTGGCCCAGCTCTGGCCTTTGCGGCCATTTGGGGAGTGAACAAGCGGATGGAAGATCTCTCTGTGTAACTCTGCCTTTCAAATAAATAAATACATCTTAAAGAAAAGAAAAGAAAATGCAGACAGCGGCATGAATGGTTTCCTGAGGCTCGGTTTTCAATGGAGGAAAGTAAAAGGAAGGTAAGGGGACAGGGTGAAAAGAGAGACCAAGGCCCACCCTCCCGGGAGTCTCACGGCTCTGCAGACCCTACACAGCACAGTTTGCTTCTTGGAGAGAAAGAGAGAAGCAGGGAGAAGCTGAGGGAAAGAAGAAGGAGAAGAAGGAGAAGGAGAAGGAGAAGGAGAAGGAGAAGGAGAAGGAGAAGGAGAAGAAGACGTCTACACAGCCCCTTGTTGGTGAGACTGCACGGAATTCAGATCCCCTTCCCCTGAGAGTCGACGCGGGAAGCTGGCAGCTGTGTCACACTCCCAAGCCGGGCACACAACACATAAGCTAAGTTCTCTAGCACAGCAGAGCTCATCTGGCTTTGCTGCTGGATGTACAAAGCAAGGAAGAAAACAGGTGGCATTCCACACCTCTGAATTGGCACCCAGGCTTTCAACGTCGCCTCTTTTAGGAAATGTTCCCTGGCGCAGTGGGAGGTGCTCATTTTACTCTCTCTCAGTGCCTGGCTTACCTCCCTCACTGCCAGGCCAGGCCCAGTTGACCACCTTTCACATTGTCTTCAGGGCCCTGAGTCTTTTGTCCGCATCAACAAGATCAACAAAGAGACATTAGAGCTGGTGCTGTGACGTAGTGGGTAAAGCCACCATCTGCAGTGCCGGCATCCCATATGGGCGCCGGTTTGAGTACTGGCTGCTCCTCTTCCGATCTAGCTCTCTGCTATGGCCCAGGAAAGCAGTAGAAGATAATCCAAGTCCTTGTGCCCCTGCACCTGCCTGGGAGACCTGGAGGAGGTTCCTGGTTCCTGGCTTTGGCACTGAGGCCATTTGGGGAGTGAACTAGTGAATAGAAAACTTCTCTCTCTCCTTCTCTCTGTATCTCTGCCTTTCAAGTAAACAAATAAATCAATTTAAAAAAGAGAGAGAGGCCGGTGCCGCGGCTCACTAGGCTAATCCTCTGCCTAGCGGCGCCGGCACACCAGGTTGTAGTCCCGGTCAGGGCGCCGGATTCTGCCCCGGTTGCCCCTCTTCCAGGCCAGCCCTCTGCTGTGGCCCGGGAGTGCAGTGGAAGATGGCCCAGGTGCTTGGGCCCTGCACCCCATGGGAGACCAGGAAAAGCACCTGGCTCCTGGCTCCTGCCATCGGATTAGCGTGGTGCGCCGGTCGCAGCGCGCTGGCCGCGGAGGCCATTGGAAGGTGAACCAACGGCAAAAGGAAGACCTTTCTCTCTGTCTCTCTCTCTCACTGTCCACTCTGCCTATCAAAAATAAAAAATAAAAAAGAGAGAGAGAGATGTGAAAATTCTGAAGATGATGGCAGCTGTGGACAGCAATGATGTTGTCTGCGTGTTGGTGCTTCCAGTACATGTTGTGAGATTCCTAGAGAAAAGAACAAATTATCCTGGAGCTCCTTCTATTAACAGTGTAGTATCAACTCTTGGTGGCTCATGAACGAATTTTGATTGGAGAAGAAAAAAATTTCCAACCAGTGATCATAAAAATAAACAGAAAAAAACTTCTGGCTTAAAATTCAGAGCAATATGTGCACTTAAGGAGCTGGTCCAACATTCAGAATCTTTATTCTTAAGACTTTTATTGACTTTTATTTAAAATACAGAGTTGGAAGGGGTAGTGAGCTTTCACTCGGTGGTTCAAGCCCTAACGGGCCACAACAGCCAACAGCTGGGGCCAGGCCAGGCTGAAGCCAGGAGCCAGGAACTCCATTTGGATCTCCTATGCGGATGGTGGGACCCAGGCACCTGGACCATCTTCTGCTGCCTTCCCAGGCACATTAGCAGGGAGCTGGATCGGAAGTTGAGCAGCTGGGACTTGAGTTGGCACTCATGTGGGATGTGTAATGCCAGCCCCACATCCAGAATCTTAAGCAGTTACACAAGTAGCAGACTTCATGAACGTCAGTCAGTTAAGGAACATATTTTCCAAAGGGCACTTGGAAATAAAGTGCTAAGTGGTGGGCGTTGTGCTGCACCAGGTTAAGCCGCTGCTTGGAACACCTGCATCTCATATTAGAGTCCCAGTCCAAGTCCCAGCTTCTCTGCTTCTGCTCCAGCCTCCTGCTAATGTACCTGGGAAGGCAGTAGAAGATGGCCCAAGTGCTTGTGTCCCTGAAACCCACGTGGGAGACCAGGATGGAGTTCCAGCCTCCTGGCTTCCACAGGGCCCAGGCCTAGCTATTGCAGCCATTCAGGGAACGAACCAGCAGATGGAAGATTTCTCTTCCTCTGTGTCTCTGTCAAACCAATTAATTCAGAAAAAAAAAAAGTGGTGAGTTCCCTTCTCTTTCTGATACATGCTTCATATCTTTTTTTTTTTTTTTAATATTCTATTTATTTGAGAGGTAGAGTTATAGACAGAGAGAGAGGCAGAGAGAAAGGTCTTCCATCCACTGGTTCATTCCCCAAATGGCTGCAACGGCTGGAGCTGGGCTGATCTGAAACCAGGAGCCAGGAGCTTCTTCCGGATCTCCCACATGGGTGCAGGGGTACAAGCACTTAGGCCATCCTCCACTGCCCCCACAGGCATACCAGCAGGGAGCTGGACTGGAAGTGGAGCAGCTGGGACTTGAACCTGCACCACCTTGAGATGCAAGTACTGCAGGCAGAGGCCCAGTCTTCCATGCCACAGCACCAGCCCCTAATGTGAGTCTCTTTTATTTTGAAAGATATTGAAAGCCAGGCCAGAAAGGGTAAGTGGACAGGGGTTTCTCAGGAGGATAAAGTTTTGGGTTTAAGGAGATCTGAAGCCAAGAAACCCTGATTTTTTTTTTAAGATTTATTTATTTATTTGAAAGGCAGAGTTACAGAGAGGCAGAGGCAGAAAGAGAAAGAGAGGTCTCCATCTTCTGGTTCACTCCCCAAATGGCTGCAACTGCCCAACTGGGCCAATTTGAAGCCAGGAGCCAGGAGTTTCTTCCAGGTCTCCCATGTGGGTTCAGGGGCCCACAGACTTGGGCCATCTTCTACTGCTTTCCCAGGCCATAGCAGAGAACTGGATCAGAATTGGAAGTGGAGAAGCTGGGACTAGAACCTGCGCCCATATGGGATGCTAGCACTGCAGGCGGCGGCTTTACCCGCTACGCCACAGCCGGCCCCATCATCAAATACTTTAAGAGAAAAGGGTACCAAGTGGGGGTGACAACAAAGCTGTGAAATAGAAGAGAAGGAAGAGGAAGCCGTCTTGAGAGGAAATGAATGAAATAGGTGTTGCTGAGATAGGAAATGAAATTAAATTAGGAGAATGGGTGGTTGGCTGGGATACCTGTAATAGTACCAAATGCAATCTCGGGGCCAGAGTTGTGCCACAGCAGGTCACACCACCCCCTACTACACCAGCAAACCATATCAGAGCACTGGTTTGAGTCCTGGCTGCTCCAGTTCTAACCCAGCTCTCCGCTAATGCACCTGGGAAAGCAGTGGAAGATGGCCCAAGTGCTTGGGCCCTACCATCCGTGTGAGAGACCCGGCTGCAGCTCCAGGCTCCTGGCTCCAGCCTGGCCCAGCCCCAGTGTTGCAGCCATTTGGGGAGTGAAACGGCAGATGAAAGAGCTCTTTCTCTAACACTCTGCCTTTCAAATAAAATAAATTTCTTAAAAAAAAAAAAGAAAAGAAAAGAAACAGAATCTAGGGCAGGGCAGGCGGGGAACACGCTTAAACATTTTAATAGATTACAGATTTTATTTGGATAGCTAAGGCTAAGGCTGGTCATCTGTCCATCAGGTGGGATAATGACCAAACGAGATAACCAGAAGCTCAGCCTTTGGGTTGACCAACTTAACCGCCACGGAGTTCACAAAAACAGAAGCATCTGTTGTGTGAGGAACCATGGAGAGACTTCCTATTCATGGAATCCTGTGGTGGGCTGGTGCTGTGGCATAGCTGGTAAAGCCGCTGCCTGCAGTGTCGACATCCCAAATGGGCACCGGTTCACATCCCAGCTGCTCCACTTCTGATCCAGCTCCCTGCTGATGGCCTGAGAAGGCAGTGGAAGATGGCCCAAGTCCTTGGGCCCCTGCACCTGTGTGGGAGACCCGGAAGAAGCTCCTGGCTCCTGGCTTCGGATGGGCACAGCTCTGGCAGTTGCAGCCATCTGGGGAATGAACCAATGGATGGAAGATCTCCCCCCCGCCCCGCCTCTACCTCTCTGTAACTCTGTTTTTCAGATAAGTAAATAAATCTTAAAGAAAAAAAAAAAAAGAATCCTGAGGAGGAAAAACCAGGCCCATTAACAAATACCCTCCTTCCCAGTTAACTAACTTGAAATCCACTCTTCCAGTTTCTCTGCTGTTAACCCGCACTGCATTAAAAAAATAAAAGTCAATTTAAAAGCAGACAGACTTGCTATGACTAATTTAAGAACTCCCAAAGCAGGCCCTTTTCCAAAAATACTTTGCAGTTGACAATACTGTAAGCTCAGCACCAGAGAGACATGACACAACTGTTGACCCCAGGCTCTGTCACAGCCAACTGCTGGTGTGGGCAGGGCAGGGTGGGCCCTGGGAGACCTCCACACCCCTGAGCTGCTGTTGGCATGGGGCTTTACAATTAAAGCTTTCTATAAACAAAATGTCCCCCATCTTTGCATTGTAAACAGCCTACTTAAAAATTATTCTTGGGGTAGGCGTCTGGCACAGAGGTTAAGATGCCGCTTGGGATGTGGGCATTCCATGCGGGGAGTTCCTGGTTGAAGTCCCAGCTCTGCTTCCTGCCAATGCACACCCTGGGAGGCAGCAGACATGGCTCAACTACTTGGGCCTCTGCCACCCGTGTTGAAGCGCTGGACAGAGTTCCAGGTCCCCGGCTTCAGCCTGGCCTGGCGGTGCCTGGCTGTTGCATTAGGGGAGCAAACCAGCAGATACAAGAATACAAGATACGTTTGTCTGTCTGCCTTTCAAGTAACACGGAAAACAAAAATCTTATTTTTTTCCTCTTGGTTTCTATGATGGAACAATTTACACTAGGGGCCGAGACTGCTAGGGCTTTTCAGATAAAGCATTTTCACTTAAATACGTATTTCTCAATGAAAATAGGTTTACCTCCTCTGTGGGCACTACTTTTAAAAGCTACACCTTTCGGCAGAGTTGCTTGCACACGAGTATAATTACGCGGTAGTACGGAGGAGGCGGCTGGACATCAAAGGCAGAGAGCCTTTTCCAGACCCAGAGGGAGCGCGGGATCTCCCTGCACGCGGGCAGCTCAACGAATTTCACCATGAATTCCACCGCGGGGGCGGGAGGCGGCGCGATGATGTCACCACCCCGGTGTTTATGACGCGCCACGCGGTTATGTTCTTCATCTCCTTCTCCTCTTCAACACCAGGGAACAGCCAGGCACGGCCAGCAGCTCCCACACTGCCTGACCTGCCTCTGGCTTCCTGTGAAGTCAAATTAAAAAAAGGCAATCTACCTCTTGAAGGTTTTGCTCAGCCAATGCCAGTTTATTAACGACTCCACATCTTTTTTTTTTTTTTATGGGTCAAGTAGTTTCTCGGCCCAAGTGTGAGCTGGTTTCCTAAGAATTCCATTAGCGGGAACGCAAGAGCTAGCGTCCCTGCAAGCTCTGGACTCCAGGACACGGGGCGAGCGCACCCCCTTTTCTGGATAACCAGATCGCGTTTGGGACCAGTGAGGAAAGTCGCCGCAGGTCGCCCCCGGTTTTCCACACCTGCACCGCCGGGCCGCGCAGCCACGGTGCCGCTTTAGTCCTCCCTCAGAGCGCGCCCCGGGACCCGGCCCTGCGAGAACGCGGCGGCGGCGGCCCCAACTTTGGGGTCCACGCAGCCAGGGAAAAGCAGGGCGGGCGGCACAGGGGGCACGGCGGCCCCCGGGGGCTCTGCGGCCGCAGAAGCTGCAGCCTCGGCGGGGGGCTCCGCGAACGGCCCCTCCGTCCGCCCAGCCCACGCAGGGGCCCTACGACCCCGGGAGGGGGAGTCGGGGGTCCCGACGCAGGTGGCAGCTTCGGGCCCGGCGACTCAGGGAGGTACGACACGGCCGACGGCGGCGGCGAGCGGCTAGTGGGGAACTCCAGGGGGCGCCCTCGCGGCGCCCACGCCCGAACCCCTCGCCCCCGGACCCGCGCGTGGGGGCGGCCGGGCCTCGCAGCGCCCCTCGGGGTCGCGGCCCCGCCCTCCACACCCCCGGAAGTGACGCGCGGCGGCGGCGGCGACGGCATCTGGGAGGGGCCCCGGCGCTGCCAGGGGGTTTGAGAGTGGCGGCGGCCGCGGCGCGACTGGCAGGCCGGGCGACGGCGAGGAACGCCCCGAGCGCGCGCCCGGCGGGTAGCGGCCGGACGACCCGCGCCGCCGCCGCCGCCGCAGCCGCCGGCGCCGCCGCCACTGCCGCCGCGTGCGGGGGCGGGCAGGGCGGGGCGCGAGGAGCCGCGGCGGCCGTGCGGCGGCGGGAGATGCGGGCGGCTGTGGGCACCCGGCGGGCTCGCCTCCGCCGCGGGGGTCGCAGCGGCTGCCGCGCTGCCCTCGAGTGCCCGGCGTGAGGAAGGCGAGGAGGCGGCGGCGGGCGGAGCGGAGCGTCGAGCTCGAGGCGGAGAGCGACCCGGAGCCCAGCGCGCGGCCTCGGTGAGCGGCGCGCCCCAGCGGGGTCTCGCGGCGGCCGCGGCCGGGCCCGGGGGCTCGCGGCGCCGCAGGAAACGCGCGGGCGGGCGGGCGGGCGGGGCGCTCGCTCCCTCGGGGCCGCCCCGGACGCGCCCGGCCTCGCGGCTGCTGCCCGGCGCTGCGCAGGTGGACGCGGAGCGCCCCGCCCGGCTCGCCTCGCCCCTTATTTGGTCTTGCGAGGTGACCCGGGCAGAAGGTGGCGGCGGGGAGTGAGTGCGACTTCGCCGGGGGACAGGAAGTTGGAAAATGAAAGCGCCCGGAGGCCGCGCCCGGCCCCGCGGACTTTGATCTCCGGGGCGCACGGTCGCCGGCGCGGCTTCCTGCCCCGAGCGGCCGCTCATCCGGTGTCGAGTTTCCTCCTCGCTCGGTCGCCCGCAGCGCCCCCTCCCTTCCCCCGGCTCGCGGTGCGGCAGCGGCGAGGCTGGTGGCCGCCGCGTCCCCGGGAGGACCCTCTGGGCACGTCTGTGGGGGGCGGAGTAGTGCCTGGGCTTGGCGGCCGGTGGACCGCGGTGGGCGAGCGAGGCACGGTGGGCTTCTTCCCCGGCCGTCGGGAGCGTGGGCCGTTTCAGTGGGGGGTGTCCTGGGGGTCTCCAGTCGCCGGCCTCTGCTGGGTGGACCCTGGGGATTCCGGGCTGACGGCGCGGTGGCTCGGGCCCGGATTTTTTGGGCCACGTTACCCTGCAGGATGCTTCGTGACTGATGGGCACACGCTCCCGTCCTGTTTGTAGAGCTTGTGGTGATTTTTAACTCAGGTCTGGGCTTGGTGCATTTTATAATCTGGTTTTGTTTTCTTTAAGCTGCTCACTGAAGAACTTGGAGACTTGTTTTTTGGTTCTTAGCTACTGTCTCTGAAAAATAGTCTGGCCGTGGGTCTCCACAGCAACTGGACTGTGTGTTTTATAAACATGTTTAGGGTGGGAAGCTTCCTTTAGTTGAGCCTTGCTTTTCCTAACAAGTTGTTTCATCATGCCCCGCTCACAGGGTGGCTCAGGGCTTGGTCTTCGGAGGGGTAAGGTGGAATCAATTATGTCCTCACGTTTAACCCCTAGGAAGTCAGACTCATTAATTTCAATTAGTTGTTCCTTCATTACACCTCTAAAAACTTTTTTTTAAAACTAATTGTGGAAAACTTGGGGTTTTTCTAAGAAGGAAAATCATGTTTTATTTTTTCCTCTTTTAATAGGTAACAAGAATGGAAAGTATTTGTATTTTTTTAACTCATTTCACCTTTGTAATTTTTAATTCTCTTCTGGAATTTTTTTTTCCTTCAGTCCTCTTTTATGGTTGAAAAAACCATTGAAGTTCATAGTTAATATCACACTTTCGGGAACTAAAATGTTTGCATTTTATTATAGACCCAAAGGGTCACCAATTTTTCAGTCAAAAGAGTAACCTGACACCAAGATTGAATTAACAAGACATTCCTTTAAAACCCACTGCAGATGTCCATTTTATGTGTATGTTAGTTTTTCTCAAAAGAAATGTTCAGTCCTTCAGTCCCAAACCACAGAGCCTGTTTCACTGTCAGCAGCATTCTAGCCACACCAGGAAGCACGGGGTTGTCCACAGCTGGGCTGTGCCCCACCAGCTGGGCTGTGCCCCCACCCCGCCGTGCGGCCACTGCAGAGGGGAAGGTGGAAGGCAGAGCCCACGCACCTCACCTCAGGGACGCTGCTGCCTTGCTCAGGATGGCACCTGGGTGGCTCACTGTGGAAAAACTGATGTCTCATCTCTGTCTCTGGACAGCTTAGCCATCATAAACCTGTGGGGCTTAAACAGTATCCACATGACAGGTGTCAAGACATAGGAATCCGGGTTTTAGAAGCTTTCCAAAACTCGGTGGAATTATAAGCACCACGTCTGTAGTCTGGAGATTCTGGTTCTCTGCTTGCCTTTCCTGGCGTCGTCTATCATCGTGTCTCGCATTCGGACCTCTACCCCACAGCGTTCCTGATGTGAAGGTCATGTCTGCAAATGTGGAAATTGAGATCTTTGGTTAAGTTAGTGTTTACTAGGAAGGAGCATTAACAGGCTTAGACTAGCAAGTAATTAAATTTTAAAAACTTTTGAGAGCGAATGACAGACAGGAATCTTCCCTCTGCTGGGTCACTCCCCAAATGTCCCCAGCAGCCAGGGCTAGACCAGGCCAAAGCGGGGGCCTGGGAATTCAATACCTGCTGCCTGCTGTGGTGCACTTTAACAGGAAGCTGGACTCAGGAGCAGAGCTGGGACTTGAACCCCAGGCACTCTGATGTGGGATGCAGGAGCTACACCAAACATGCACCCCACAAATAATTGTTTAAAGTGGGAAGACTATGTTGAATAAAGATACATCTGGCAAACTCAGAAAAATGACAGGGCACTGTCCCCAACACCCTACCCCTCCACCCTCCCATGGAGATTTTCAAAAGCCTGCTGTTTTGGGGTGGACATTGTGGTGCAACAAGTTAAGCCCCTGCTTGGGATGCCTGGTTCGAATCCCAGCTACTGAGTGCTTGCTTCCAATCCAGTCTCCTGCTAATGTGCCTGGGAAGGCAGCAGATGATGGTCCGAGTTCTTGGTCTCTGCCACCCACTTGGAAGATCCAGATGAAGTATTTGGGGAGTGAATCAATGCATGGAAGATTTCTTTCTCTCTCTGCCTTTCAAATAAGTAGATCTTTTTAAAAATTCTGTTATCTCAGTTTTAGTGAGTGTAGCACTGATTCTAGTGGTCATGGTTGTTCCGCGTTAAGGTAGCACTTACTGTTTGTGGCTTATTGGTGCTCAGTATGTAATAGGTCGACTTCTCTATGCTCAGCTGGTGATGTTAGTGCTTTAACAGGCCCAGGAGATTTCCCTAATGAATAGTACAAGACTGAAGAGAGAGACTTGGATGAATGGCTGTACTTCTCTGTGGGACACATCTCCCCTTCTCAATGTTGGGAGACCGTTTTTCTGTGCATGTGGCTTCCTTGTGGTAACCAGGTGGCCTGGAGAGCTTTTTTGGTGTCTCAGAAAAGTGGCAGAAACCCAGGTGTTTCCACTGCTGCCCCCGGTGGAAGCAGATGTGGATGACTCTTTTTTTTTTTTTTTTTTTTTTTTTTAATTTGACGGGTAGAATTATAGCCAGTGAGAGAGAGAGAGAGAAAGGTCTTCCTTCTGTTGGTTCACTCCCCAAATGGCTGCTATGGCCAGCGCTGTGCCGATCTGAAGCCAGGAGCCAGGAGCCTCTCCTGGTCTCCCATGTGGGTGCAGGGGCCCAAGCACTTGGGCCATCCTCCACTGCCCTCCCGGGCCTCAGCAGAGAGCTGGCCTGGAAGAGGAGCAACCAGCACTAGAACCCCAGGGTGCTGGCGCTGCAGGCAGAGAGGATTAACCAAGTGAGCCACGGTGCTGGCCCCGTGGATGACTCTTAAGGACCCCATCTCCTATGAGTTTTGTGTTGGAATTAGTCTTCTCAGTCTGGATTTTCTATCTGTTGTGTTAGATTTGTTTCCAACATGTTTGTTTTTTAAAAGATTATTTACCTTGAAAGTCAGAGTTAGAGAGGGATGTCTTCTAGATGCTGCTTGACTCCCCAGATGACTGCAGTTGCCAGCGCTGAGCCAGATGGGAGCCAGGAGTTTCAGCTATGTCTCCCCCGTGGGTGGGAGGGACCCAAACACTTGGGCCATTTTTCAGTGCTTTTCCCAGACCTTTAGCAGGGAGCTGGATTGGAAGTGGAGCAGCCGGGACATGAAATGCGTCCATGTGGGACACTGGCATCTCAGTTGACAGCTTTTCCTGCTATGTCACAACACTGGCCCCAAAACATGTTTATTGAGATGTACCATGAAATGTACAATCCAGGGATTTTAGCACTTTTACAGAATTGTGCAACCAGCACCACCATCTAGGTTTAAAATATTTTCATCACAGAGCAGGTATTTGTTCTAGTGGCCGGCTAATTCTTTGGTTAGGATGCCCATGTCCCTGGGTTTGATATCTGGCTCTAGCTTCTGATTCCAGCTTCCTGCCAGTGTAGACCCTGGGAGGCAGCTGTGATGGCCCCAAGTAGTTGAGTTCTTGCCACCCAGGTGAGAGACCTGGATTGAGTTTCCCAGTCCCTGCAGCCATTGTAAGGCATTTGGAGAATGAGCCAGCAGGTGGGAGCTGTATTTGTCTTCTCTCTCTGCCTGTCCAAAAAGAAGTTTCTGAAAATATATATTTTTTACATCACCAAAAGAAGCCCTGTCCCCATTAACGGTTGCTCTCCAGTCTTCACCCCTGTCTTCAGCTCTGAGCAACCAGCGATCTGCTTTGTGTGTCTGTATACTTGCCCGTTCTGGACACCTCGTAGGAAAGAACGTGTACACTGTGTGTGCTCTGGTGGCTGGCTTTTTCACTTGTGTAGCGTTGACAAGGTTCATCCCTGTTGTGACAGTACTTCATTTCTGTTTCTGGCTCCATGCACCACGTTTTATTTATCCATTCATCAGGTTGGTTTTTTTTTTTTTTATATTAATAATTCTACTGTGGACATGCCAGTATAAGTTTTTATGAGGACCCATGTTTTATTTCTCTTGGGTGTGTATCTCAGAGTGGAATTTCTGTACCCACGGTAAGCTTGTCCTAAGTAGCTGCGCCCTTTGCCATCCCCCAGCAGTGTCTGAGAGTTCGCGTCTCCACGTCCTTGCCAGCACTTACTGTCCGTCGGGTTTTACTGCAGCCATCCTGGTGGGCGTAAGGTGGTTTCTAAGGTGGTTTTGATTTTCATTTCCCTAATCACTAGTGATATTGAGCATTTATTGTATGCTTAGTAGTTAATTATTTCTCTTCTTTGGGGAAATATGTTTTGAAATCCTTTTTCTATTTTAATTTGGTGTTTAAGAGTTCTTTCTGTATTTTGGATGGAAATACCTTTTGAGATACATTATTTGAAAGTATTTTCTCCCATATTGGGCATTACACAACAATTGTATTGATGTAGTTCAGTTTACCTGTGTTTGTAGTGTTCGGATGGAATTGTTTAATTTGTTAAACTCTCTCATGGTCCAGTGAGATTGCACTCGTAGGTTCTGGTTTTTGTGTGAGGAAGGGTGTTTAGTCCTCAGCTTCTTTAGGACAGGCTCGTGTGTGTTTGGCCAGAGTTACTGCCCTGAAGGATGCTTGCTAAGAGACAAAGAGAAATTCTATGAGGAAAATACCTTTGTGACATCATTTCCTTGCGGTTTAATTGCTTAAATTAGCCGCACTAAGTTTTGACCCCAGGGGAACATTTGCAGACTGTTTTGATTGTCACAGCAGGCTGGGAGGGTGCTGCCGGCCCCCACCAAGGACAGTGATCTGGGCCAAAATTGAGAAACCCTGGCCCAAACAGGGAGATGATAAAGCTTCAGCTGGTGAAGGATTGTTCTTCATTTCCTGTCTTGATAACCAAATACAGGTTACCAGTCAAGTAAAAGGAGAATCTGTGCAGAGGTACCCCCATGGACAGAGGGTGACAGAACTCGTAAAGTAAATCAGGAAACATTTTGCTAAAATCTCAGTGCTACCAATTTGTATGTAAATTGCATTTATGATAATGGATATTATTTGGAGGAAAAAATACTAGTTAGAGCAAAAGTACATTATTCTGTGTACTTTACTTAGCCCCTGGGCCACTGTGAGAGAGACTACACACACACCATACTATGCCATCTTTTTTTTTTTCTTTTTTGACAGGCAGAGTGGACAGTGAGAGACAGAGACAGAGAGAAAGGTCTTCCTTTTGCCGTTGGTTCACCCCCAATGGCCGCCGCGGCCGGCGCACCGCACTGATCCGAAGCCAGGAGCCAGGTGCTTCTCCTGGTCTCCCATGGGGTGCAGGGCCCAAGCACTTGGGCCATCCTCCACTGCACTCCCTGGCCACAGCAGGGAGCTGGGCTGGAAGAGGGGCAACCGGGACAGAATCTGGTGCCCCGACCGGGACTAGAACCCGGTGTGCCGGCGCCGCAAGGCGGAGGATTAGCCTAGTGAGCCACGGCACCGGCCAACCATGCCATTTTGGCAAGTAAACAAATAAAGTTGATTTAGATTGATGAAATGATGGCCATTAAAAAATATTTATTTATTTGAAAAGCAGAGTTAGAGAAATCTTCGTCCACTGGTTCACCCCCCAAATGGCTGCAATGCCTAGGGCTGGACCAGACTGAAGCCAGGAGCCTAGAACTGTATCCGGGTCTCCCACAAGGATGGCAAGGGCCCAAGTACTTGGACTGTTTTCCACTGCTTTCCCAGGTACATAGCAGGGAGCTGGATTGGAAGCAGAGTAACCAGACTTCAACCAGTGCTTACACTGAATGCTGGCAATGCAGGTGGCAACCCAGCCTGCTGTACCACAATTCTGGCCTCAAAATGATGGTCTTTTTTGAGAGAATTGGACCATGAGATTTTTTTTTTTTTTTTTTTTTTTTTTTTTTTTTTTTTTTGGTCAGAGTTAGTGAGAGGGAGACAGAGAGGGAGAGTTATAGACAGTGACAGAGAGAACGGTCTTCCTTCCGTTGGTTCACTCCCCTAATGTCCGCTTATGGCCAGCACTGTGCATATCCGAAGCCAGGAGCCGGGTGCTTCCTCCTGGTCTCCCGTGTGGCTGCAGGGACCCAAGCACTTGGGCCATCCTCTGCTGCCCTCCCGGGCCACAGCAGAGAGCTGGACTGGAAGAGGAACAATTTGGATTAGTACCCGGTGCCCCAACTGGGACTAGAACCCGGGGTGCCAGTGCCGCAGGTGGAGGATTAGCCAAGTGAGCCATGGTGCCGGCTGAGTTTTTTTTTTTTTTTTTTTTTTTTTTTATGATTTATTTGAAAGGCAGAGTTACACAGAGAAAGAGACAGAGAGAGAGCTTCCATTGCTGATTCACTCCCCAGATGGCCTCAATGGCTGGGGCTGGGCCAGACTGAAGCCAGGAGCCTGAAACTCCATCCAGGTCTCTCACATGGGGGGCTGGAACCCAGACACTTGGGCTGTCTTCCACTGCCTTTCTCAGACCATTAATAGGGAGCTGGATGGGAAATAGAGCAGCCGGGACTTGAACCGGTGCCCATATGGAATGCTGGCATTGCAGGCTGTGACTTTACCTGCTGTGCCACAGTGCTGGCCCTTAGAAGATGAGATTTTAAGATAAAATTCAATAACCGTGATAGTGTAGTGATTGGCAATCATCAGTCTGCTCCTATAATGCATGGAAGTAGCTTTATTTTTCTTGTAAGCTGCTTACTACTTACGAGTTTCCTTAAGCAGCATGGTGTACTTAAGAGGTTGTTGTTTTTTTTTTTTTAATTTATTTATTTGAAAGGTAGTGTTACAGAGAGGCAGAGGCGGGGAGAGCAACAGATCTTTGATCCGCTAATTCACTCTCCCCAAATGGTTGCATTGGCTAGGCTGGGTGAGGAGCCAGGAGCGTCTTCCAAGTCTCCCAGTGAGTGCAGGGGCTCAAGCACTTGGGCCATTCTCTGCTACTTTCTCAGGCACATTGGCAGGGAGCTGGGTTGAAAGTAGAGCAGCTGGGATTTGAACCATTGCCCATATGGGATGTTGGTGCTGCAGGTTGTGGTTTTAACCCACTGCACCACAGCACCTGCACCCATGCTTAAAGAGTTTACACTCTGGTCACCCAGTGTCTGGCCTAAGTTTCAGTTTCGAGAGTTAATTGTGTGACCTTAGACGAGTTACTTCACCCATGTGAAAGGATGTACTAGTAACCCTCTCACAGTGGAGTGCTGTGTGCGTGCAGTGAGTAAACACACTTTGAGCACTTCACCAGTTCTGACAGTCAGTGCTGCATTGGTACTGGCCACTTGTGTTATCACTCATCTGTCTTGTTCCTGCAGCCCATTGCTATGGACAGTGCTGTCACCCTGTGGCAGTTCCTTCTTCAGCTCCTGCAGGAGCCGCAGAATAAGGACGTCATCTGCTGGACCTCGAATGACGGGGAGTTCAAGCTCCTGCAGGCGGAGGAGGTGGCTCGGCTGTGGGGGGTCCGCAAGAACAAGCCAACCATGAACTATGACAAGCTCAGCCGGGCCCTCAGATACTACTACGTGAAGGTAATACGTGTCCTGGTCGTGATTGGACGCAGAAAACCTCAAGACAAGAATTACTCCTTCTTTTCTGTTGAGATTGTAAATATTAATGTCTTAGTTTATTTCAATCCAGTTTATTTTAGAACTTCAGCGGTTTGGAATTAGGATACAGGGTGTCAGTGTTCCAGTTATATCTGTACAAACTCTTACGCAGTAAGCTATTCTAATTGTACATGTTTTATTCCTAATTGCAGTTGTCTTTGAAAGAAAAAGTACAGGATTGGAAAAAGAAATTTGGAGATTCTCAAGGATAAATACATATGCTTATGTATTTTGTAATTTACTTTAAAAATTGTATTGGAGAGGGCACTTAGTCTCTCGTTTTAAATGCTGGTTAGGGTGCCTGCCTCCTGCATTGGAGTTCTTGCTCCTGTGTCCAGCACTGGCTCCCCTGTACCTGCTTCCTGCTAATGCAGATCCTGGAAGGGAACAGCTGATGACTCAGGTGACTGGGTCCCTGCCTCTCTTGTGGGAGACCTGGATTGATTTCTAAACCACCTGCCTTTGGCCCTCCCCAGTCCCCTGCTTGCCAGTATTTGGGGGAGTGAGCCAGCAGATGGGGACACTTTTCCTTCTCTGCCTCTCTAATAAATACAAACTTTTAAAAAGAAATTACTTTAAATTTTTATATATTTATTTATTTTTACTTTATTTGAAAGGTAAAGCAACATAATGAGAGAGACAGGAGACAGAGAGAGAGGTCGTCCATCCACTAGTAAACTCCCCAAATGCCTGCAACAGCCAGGCCTGGGACCTAGGTGCTTAAGCCATCACTACTGCCTCCTAGGGTGTGCGTTTTCAAGAAGCTGGGATTGGAAGCAGAGCTAGGAGTCTAACCAGGCAGTTCAATATGGGGTTAACTGCCACACTAAGTACTTGCCTCTTATATACAGTGTGGTTTTTTTAAAAAAGTGTTTTTATTTATTTGAAAGTCAGAGTTACACAGAGAGAGAGAGAGAGATCTGTCTGCTGCTTTACTCCCCAACTGGGCGCAACAGCCTGAGCTGCACTGATCTGAAGCCAGGAGCGAGGAGCCTCCTCCGGGTCTACCATACGGGTGCAGGGCCCAAGCAGTTGGGCCATCTTCTACTGCCCTCCCAGGCCATAGCAGAGAGCTAGATCGGAAGTGAAGAGCTGGGTCCCGAACCAGCGCCCACATGGGGTACCACCCTGCAGGCGGTGGCTTTACCCGCTGTGCCACAGCGCTGGCTCCCGGTACTTGTTTTTATAGCTTTACTTCATTTTTAGTTTAGCTTAATCCAGGGAGCACAAGTTAGTACCTTAGCTTGTGAGGAGGGGTGCAGCACTGTGGCACAGCAGGTTAAGCCAGGGCCTGCAGCTCCAGCATCACATATGGGCACCAGTTTGAGTCCCGGCTGCTCCACTTCCTATCCAGCTCCCTGCTAATGTACCTGGGAAAGCGGTGGAGGATGGCCCAGATTGTTGGGCCCCTGCTCCTGTGTGGGAGACCCAGAAGAAGCTTTTGGCTTGTGGCTTTGGCAAGGTCCAGCCCAGCCCCAGTCATTGTGGCATTTGGGGGTGAACCAGCAGATGGAAGATCAATCTCTCTCTGTCTCGCCTCTCTATCTGTAACTCTGCCTTTCAAATAAATAAATAAATCTTAAAAATAATGTGCAAGGCTTGTTTGGCAAAAACAAAACAAAAACCTTAACAGGAGTGGGGAATGTCTGGATGTGGTCAGTATAAAGCCCGTTAAATCATTGAGTCTGGCCCTGACAAGGCAACTATAGGCAGGACTCAAATTTAATAAATTTACAGCAGGCTCATTTTTTCATTTATTTTTAATTATTTTATATTTTTAAAAACATATATAAAGGGAACAAATTCCCCGTATTTCATATGTACATAATATATATAATATAACTTTTTTTAAGATTTATTTATTTGAAAGGCAGAGTTAGAGAAGGAGGGAGAGAGAGAGAGATCTTTGATTTGCTGGTTCACTCCCCAAATTGTCACAACAGGCAGGGCTGGCCCAGGCTGAAGCCAAGAACCAGGAGCTTCCTCCAGATCTCCCACGTGGGTGCAGGGGCCCAAGCATTTGGGCCATTTTCACTGTTTTCCTAGGTGCATTAGCAGGGAGCTGGATCAGTAGTGAACCATCGCCCATATGGGATCCCAGTGCTGCAGGCCACGGCTTTAACCCACTGAGCCACAGTGTCGGCCCCCGTATATATGCAGCTTTTAAGAATATAATGGGGCCAGTGCTGTGGCACAGTGGGTTAAAGCCCCAGCCTGCAGTGCCAGCATCCCATATGGGCACTGGTTTGGGTCCTGGCTGCTCTTCTTCTGATCCAGCTCTCTGCTGTGGCCCAGGAAAACAGTGAAGATGGCCCAAGTCCTTGGGCCTTTGCACTCACATGGGAGACCGGAAGAAACTCCTGGCTCCTGGCTTCAGATCTGCTCAGCTCTGGCCATTGCAATCATTTGAGAGGTGAACCAGCAGAATGGAAAACCTCTCTCCCCTGGCTTTACCTCTCTCTATAACTTTTTCAAATAAATAAAATAATTTTTTTTTTTAAAAAGATCATAATGATACTGGGGCTGGTGATTTGGTGCAACAGGTTAAAACCCTGACCTGCAGTGCTAGCATCCCCATATGGGTACCAGTTCAAATCCTGGCTGCTCCACTTCCGATCTAGCTCCCTGCTAATGCACCTGGGAAAGCACCAGAGGATGGTTGAAGTTGTTGGGCCCCTGCACCCACGTGGGAGACCCAGAAGAAGCTCCTGGCTCCTGTCTTTGGATCAGCTCAGCTCCAGCCATTGGGCTATTTGGGGAGTGAACCAACGAATGAAAGACCTCTCTCGCTTGCTCTATCTACCTCTCTATGACTCTCATTCAAATAAAGAAATTTTTTTTAAAAAAGATGATGATGCTACCCACTCTCTCTCCTTCTTCTTATATTTCTTTTAATTTTTGCAATGCCATACTTTTCTTTTAAGATTTTATTCATTTATTTGAGAGGTGGAGTTACAGACAATGAGGAAGAGACAGAGAAAGGTCTTCCTTCAGTTGGTTCACTCCCTAGATGGCTGCAACGGCCGGAGCTGCGCCTATCCAAAGCCAGGAGTCAGCAGCTTCTTCCAGGTCTCCCACGTGGGTGCAGAGACCCAAGGACTTGGGCCATTTTCTACTGCTTTCCCAGGCCCACAGCAAAGAGCGGGATTGGAAGAGGAGCAGCTGGGATTAGAACTGGTGCCCAAATGGAATGCCAGCACTGCAGGTGGAGGATTAACCTGTTGTGCCACAGCGCTGGTGCCGATGACATACTTTCAACTTACTTTATAATCACAAGCTTAACCCTCGCCTAAATCAAGAATTTAACAAGTAGTTCCTCAGGAAGCATGCTAATTTTTAAGTTGATGATTTTGGATGGCCTGTGAATAATGTTTTAATGGTCTAAATGGCCCTTGGCAGAAAAAAGGTTCCCCATCCCTGCCCTGAAGAATAGCTGTTTATATATAGAATAGATTTAATTAAACTTATATCGTTTTTCTTTAACAAGTGATTGCTGTGAATACATTCTTGGGCACTGAAGTAAAGTAAATGCTGTAAAGGACAGCCTTAGAACGGGAGGCTGAGATCCTAATCTCGTTCACCTTTTAAGTGGTTGATCTTAACAGCTTTCCGGTATGAGACAGGAAGTAAGAAACAACGAAATATAAAACAAAATTTTAAAAAAATTTATGTGAAAGGCATAGGGGCAGAGATAGATCTTCTTTCTGCTTGTTTGCTTCTCAGATGTCCACAGCAGCCATGGCTGGGGCACAGGAGTCAGGAGCTCCATCTAGGTCTCCACGTGGGTGGAAGGGAAGTATTTGAGCCATCGTGTGCTGCCTCCCTGTGTGTGCATTAACAGGGATGGAAGCAGAGGTGGGACTTGACCTCAGGCCCTCTGCTAGTGGATGTGGGTGTTACGTGCAGGGGCTTACAGTGTCTGCCCCAACAGCTGGAATTTCTGAATGAAGTAGGGAACTTAGCAGATGTAGTGCTGTAAATTCTTTTTTGCTCACTCAGGATGTGTTTGGCTGTGTCTTTGGAATTAGTTGAGATTGCAGTCCAGTGAGTTCTGACTTACTGCAGATACCTGGGTGAGAGTTAGGCAGTTAAAGTCCGTCTGCTTCTAACAGTGTAGCTCAGTTGTTAAGGCATTTGAATATTCTTGCCTTAGCTTCTCTGTAGTATAGGGCCTGTGTTTGATGTGGCCCAGTGAATTGAGATGATTCTGAGGTTCTTAAGTAAGCTGTGTCTCCTTGTCAAGTAGAGAACCTCATGAAGTCAGCTGCTTCTTGAGCTGTGGGATGTAAGTGTGCAGGAAAGTGTAAGAATGCTTATTTTATTTACCTACAGAATATCATCAAAAAAGTGAATGGTCAGAAGTTTGTATACAAGTTTGTCTCTTACCCAGAGATTCTGAAGATGGACCCAATGACAGTGGGCAGGATTGAGAGAGACTCTGAGACTTTGAACTTCAGTGATGTCAGTAGCAGTTCCAAAGACATGGAGAACGGCGGGAAAGAGAAGCCCCCTCAGCCTGGCACCAAGACCTCCAGCCGAAACGACTACATTCACTCTGGCTTGTATTCCTCCTTCACTCTCAACTCTTTGAACTCCTGCAGTAAGAGGCTTTCCAAATCCATGAAGACCGAGAGCCCGGCTGAGAGACTGGCAGAGAAGAAGGCTCCTCAGGAGCCAGCACCGTCTGTCATCAGATTTGTAACGACACCTTCCAAAAAGCCACCCGGTGAACCTGTGACTGCTGCTGTTTCCAACGGCCCAGCTGTTTCTCCGTCTTCAGAGGAAACTATCCAAGCATTGGAGACACTGGTGTCCCCAAAACTGCCTTTCCTGGAGGCCCCAGCTTCCGTGTGCAGCGTATCCACCACTTTCCCTGGCACAGCTCCCACTTCGTCCCTTTCCCCTCCCTTGCAGGAGCCTCCCAGCCGCACGCCCTCGCCCCCGCTGAGCTCTCACCCAGACGTCGACACAGACGTTGACTCGGTGGCCTCCCAGCCCGTGGCGCTCCCGGAGAACCTGTCGCTGGAGCCTAAAGACCAGGATTCTGCTTTGCCAGAAAAAGACAAAACCAATAACTCATCAAGATCCAAGAAGCCCAAAGGGTTGGAACTGGCACCCACCCTTGTGATCACAGGCAGTGATCCAAGCCCACTGGGAATACTAAGCCCCTCGCTCCCTACAGCGTCTCTTACACCAGCCCTTTTCTCACAGGTAGCTGTCACCACTGTTTGCATTTCTCCCCCTTTGTAAATCTTCATTTGAGTTCAGATCCAGAATTGGCACTCAGGTTGGCTATCTGTCACTTAGGTTTGCCTTAGAAAGGTATGTAACCCTGTGAAAGCAACACAGTTCCTCACCTCAGTTGAGATTGTCAAAATAGGAGTTGGAGTGTTGGCTTTAAAAATTTGCTTGCAAGTAAATGAATACTTTGAGATTTTCCACTTCCTCCTGAAGAAAATAATGTGTGCTCCTCTGCCTCCTTATGGTTTTGTGAAAGTTGTTGATATATAAAAAACAGTGATAATCTCTAGAAAACATCAGTTCCCGAGGCCTTGAGTGTCCTGGCTGCTGTGATGTGGAGTAACAAGTCTGAACAGTTATAGTCAGTGTCCATTAACTTGAGATCTCAGAAGACAGTTTAATAGATTACTCCCAGACCATCTCATTGTTATGCAGAGAAATGTTGATGACTCAGTTGCCCATCATCCTCTGCACCCAAATACAGGCTGAGTTTTCTGTTTGGGAAAGACTATAAAATTTGGCTGAAAAAGTAGTTACTTTGACCTTTATGTTTCTTTGGTTGTAAAAATAATTTAGGAATTTTTTTATTGTGATAACATTTTGGACTTGGAGATACGGTGGAGAATAGGGCAGTATTTGGCATCAGGCTGTTTGCCTTCTGTTGATGGATAAAGCATAATCCTGTTGAGTCATTGAGCGAATGTTTTTATTTGTGTGTTGCAGACTCCCATCCTCCTGACTCCAAGCCCCTTGCTGTCCAGCATCCACTTCTGGAGCACTCTCAGCCCTGTGGCTCCCCCGAGTCCAGCCAGGTTGCAAGGTGCTAACACACTTTTCCAGGTAAACTGCATAAAAATCTGTCTCTTGTAAATGGAGCGTATTAAATAAGACAGAAAGATGGTGTCCCACTGTTGTTTTATCTTCCTAAAACTTTGATTTAATTAATGATTTAGAAATTTCACCAACACAAATATTCACAGCATAATTACCTTTCATTTTACTATTATATACATTTAAGTCAGAACAAGACTTAATGCTGGGCCGGCGTCGCGGCTCACTAGGCTAATCCTCCTCCTGCGGTGCCGGCACCCCGGGTTCTAGTCCCAGTTGGGGTGACAGGTTCTAGTCCTGGTTGCCTCTCTTCCAGTCCAGTTTTCTGCTGTGGCCTGGGAGTGCAGTGGAGGATGGCCAAAGTCCTTGGGCCCTGCACCCGCATGGGAGACCAGGAGGAAGCACCTGGCTCCTGACTTTGGATCAGTGCAGCGCGCCAGCTGTAGCAGTCATTTGGGGGGTGAACCAATGGAAGGAAGACCTTTCTCTCTGTCTCTCTCTCAGTGTCTAACTCTGCCTGTCAAAAAATAAAAATAAAAAAAAGACTTAATGCTGTGGCTTATTGTGAGCATAACCACGTTTTTTAGTCATTTTAAACACCACAAATCATCTATTTGGAAAAAAAAAAAACAGATGGGCATTTGGCAGAGCAGTTAAGGTGCTGCTTGGGATGCCCGCATCCTGTGTCAGAGAGGCAGGATTTGAGTCTTCCTTTTGCTCCTGATTCCGGCTTTCTGTTGATGTGTACCCTAGGAAGCAGCAGATGATGGCTCAGGTGGTCGGATTTCTCCTGTACATGTGGGAGACCCAGATTGAATTCCGGCGTCTTGGCAACCTGACTCAGCCCTAGATGTTGTGGCCATTCAGGGAGTAAACCAGCAGATGGGAGATGCGTCTCTCTCTCTTTTTCTGCCTTTCAAATAAATGTGAAGAGTCTTTTAAAAGTCTTGGAAAACATGTATTATGAAAAAGCTTGGATTTCAAAATGTTTTTGCACAAAAGAAAACTTTTTTAGAAAGTTTTTATTTGAAAGGCAGAGACAGAGAGTTCTTTGATTCATTGGTTCACTCCCCCCAAATGCCAACAACAGCCAGGTCTGGGTCAGAATGAATCAGAAGGCTGGATCTCAATCCAGGTCTCCCACGTGGGGGCAGGGACTCAAGTACTTGAAACACCTGCACCCTTCCAGGTGTGCATTAGCGGAAAGCTGGATTGAAAAACAGTAGTCAGGACTCGAGCCAGGTGCTTCAGGGTAGGATGTGGGCGCTCCACGGTGTGACAACCCCTGTAGCAAACTCCTGCCCCCAAATAAACTTACCTTTTAATTCCAGTTTCCAACAAATATTTTGACGTACCCTTGCATTCTTAGGCAGACACACATATACACATGCACACAGGGAATCTCTGCACATAGGTTTCTTCCTCTTGTTTAGAATTTAAAAAATAGAGAAAATCAAATGCTCCCATTTGCTCTTTATTCAGAATTGATACTTGAGAACATTTTAAGTATATATTTTTAAAAATGAGTATTGTGTTATGCTCCCATTCCTGTTTTTTTTTTTTTTTTTTTAAGGATTTATTTATGTATTTGAAATGCAGAGTTACAGAGAGGCAGATGCAGAGAGAGATTGAGAGATCTGCTGGTTCATTCCCCAAATGGTTGCAATGGCTGGAGCTGGGGCAATTGGAAGTCAGAAGCCAGGAACTTCTTCCAGGTCGCCCATGAAGGTGCAGGGGCCCGAGGACTTGGGCCATCTTCTGCTGCTTTCCCAGGCCATAGCAGAGAGCTGGATTGGAAGTGGAGTAGCCGGAACTTGAACTGGTGCCCGTATGGTGCAGCCTTACCCACTACGCCGCAGCACCTGCCCCCTTCCTATTCCTAATGGGTTTAACCATTATTTTGTCCCCACAATATAGACTATAAATTGTAGAGTTTCTTGTGGTCGATTCACTAACTTATTAGAGGTAACTGTCCCTGGGAAATTTTCTTATATTTTGTAATTTAACTTTTCATTTGTTTTTTTTTAGAAATGAAATAATAAGGAAAAGGAAGAAAAAGGTCCTTGTACATTTCCGTGTTGTTCTTTTCCCTTTGGTTGCAAAGTCACTGTATTACTAAGTAGAAAGAGTGCTGAGAATTGTCCGTATTTTGTTTTCCTATTTTTCATGGCCTCACAGCAGATGACTGGGTTTAGCAGTCTGAGACTATACGCAGTTACCGTGCTCCCCTGGCTTCAGCCTGGACTCTCCCTGGAGAGTTGGGCTCAGAATAAGCAGTGGGGACCCCTTTTCTGGGACAAGCACCCTCCAACTATTTGTGCCTGCCTAGACTTCTTTCTGAGGATTCATGATTTGCTTTATTGCTGAATACACTGTTTTTTTCTTAGCCTTTAACAACCTTCACTTGAGGTTCAGTGTAAACCTGTGTGCCCCAGGACTTGAGGGGACCTATAGGCGTGTTCTTTGTTACTGATTCTTCAAGACAGGTTGGAGAGTGTTTGTATTTAATGGGGAGGACAAACGATTTTTGTAAGTGTCGCTTTGACACCACTTTGTCCTGTGGACGCTGGTCAGCCTCAGGGTGAGCATGGCAGGGACACAGAGGGCAAGGGTGGGGTGATTGAAGCATGCTGATGTGTTTTCTCTTCTTCCCCAGTTTCCTTCTGTCCTGAATACTCACGGGCCATTCACTCTCTCTGGCCTGGATGGACCTTCCACCCCTGGCCCATTCTCCCCAGACCTACAGAAGACATAACCTGTGCACTTGCGGAATGAGAACCGAGGAGCAGAGACAGAGACACCCAGCGCGACTGCGCTTGAAGTGAGTGGGTGGTGGTTCTACAGTGCTGACAGTAGACCGCTGTGATTTCTGCTGTTTCCCGTGAAACGCCTTTGGAGGATTCCCTTTGACTAGGACTCAAGTGGACTGTGTATAAAGATGCCTTAATTGGAGCTCAAACTCCACCTCCCTCTTTTTTCTTTTCCTTTTTTTTTTTTAATTTTTAAATATTGTGAGCTTTGTGTTAAAGTAATGTTTGGTGGGATGTAGCAGCTGTGCTTTGCAGGAATGAACAAGAACAAAGTTAATCCTGGCTTTTGGGACCCTCTGGCCAGGAAAAAATTATACTTAGAGTCTATTATTTAAAGAAATATCAGTTAAATGAAATTGGTTCTATCTTGAGGACTAAGTGTGCTCTGTTGAATGACTGCACGTGAGCTGCTCACGAGCAGTGGAAGAAAAATAACCATTCTGATTCCTCCTCGATCGAAGCCACACATGGGCAGCTCCTGTCCTGTTGTGACCTGTGGCGGCCTTGTTTACGTTGATTTAGGGTGGATCTCAGTTGTGCTCTTGTCTGAGCCTGTCGGCAGAGCTTGGATCTCGTCTATTACAGCACAGAAGGATTTTTAAACCTGGGGTTTAATTCAGTTTTTGGAACCTCCAGTGAGAATGTGGGACCCCACATCAGGCCAGAAGGGTCCTCTGTTCTCCAGGAGTGGTAGGCAGCATTGCCCATGGTATGCAGCGTGGAAAATGATGCCTTTTTGGAAAATGAACTTAGGTTTTGAAGTGTTGAGGCACCTTTGAGTAAAAGAGTCAGTGCATAATTTGAAACAGCACACAGGGCTTTTCTCCGTTAGAGATACCCAGAGTGAAGGAACCTTTCTCTTTCCTGCTCATCTTACCTCATTTCCCATGGCATGTCTTTGACTTTCCTTTGAAATGCAAGGTTGCTAGAGGTAGCAGTTTTAAAGAGGTAGTCAGTAGTGAGGTAAAGATGGGCCTATTTCCTGCAAATCCTGTTTGGTTTATAATTGGGGAATGCCTTACTTAGGGGTTGGATTATTTGTATTTGTAGTGAGGTGTAGGCCTTCGTCTTTACCTTACCACCTGTACAGAATCGTCCCAGCTGGGAATCAGGGCCAGGTGCACACAGATTTGTTTAGCCCCACCCTGAATTGATAGCAGTATCAATCACGGGGCCTTTTGAAAGTTTTTGCTTTGAAATCCAAGATCAAGTCGTAACTGTCACCTCCATGGCTTGTCCATTAAACTGGTCTTTTAACCCTGTCATCGAGTCACACGAACTAGATAGAATGAGGAAGTAAGGTTTTAAGAGCTCAGAATGACATTGATACAAGCCAGCATCTTCTGGATGCACAGTGTTCACTTTAAATTCATTGTTGTGCTGTGTAGGGACGCTCTTGTTAAGTCGTCTATGCTAGGTTGCTGGCAGAGGAGGGAGAATACTCAGCTGCCTTACTGTGTGTAGTGTGGGAGACGTGTGATGTGCAATGGTCATGTGGAAAGGCAGTGTCGGGGTGGTGGGAGCAGGCCTTCTGAACTTTCTCCCTGCATTGAATTAATGAGTTCGCCTGCTTGTTTGAAATGAGATCTCTCACAGCACTTTGGAATAGTTTTTATTAGGTTAGCATTTTTTACATTGAATAGGTAAATATTGATGGCTCAGTTTAAGTAGATGTTTTAAATTTGAAAGCACAAAAGTATTTTATCTTTTTGAATTAAAGGAGAAAAGCCATTGGTTTGTTTTCACAGATGGTGTATTTGCTAATTAGCTATCTTAGTACAGAGGTGCCTTAAACCAGGGCACCATTAAAACTCAGGCCAAGCAGCCGCCTGGGAACCAGTTCTAGGGAATCCTTCCTGTAAACCTGCAGCTGAAGCCTCAGAGAGGTGTGAAGCCTTATGAGTTGATGAGAGTCTGCTTCCTTTGGGATCAGCTAGTTGGGGAAGTTTGTGTGTTTGTGTGTGTGTGTGCGTGCGCGTGTATCCTTTTTAAAGTCAGAGTTTACAACCTTCATGTGTCTGAGGCAGACAGTTCTATTTGCAGACTACCTCCTTCCTGGAAAAGTCTCAGCTCCATAGTCTTTTGAAAATCCACGGAATTCTTAGCATCAGAAGGTACCCAGCAGTTGAGGTCAGTCTTCCCAGAGAGATGGGTGTTTGCTGGTCGTGGCTGGGTGGGTGCTGTTGGGCAGTGGCAGCCCCAGTTCGGGAAGCGGAGCGGGCTGAGTGGGTTCTGGCGTTCCCTGAGCTGCCTCAGCCTTCCCCAGCTGCACATCAGCATGCTGGGGGACCCATGGCAGCTAGGAGACCCGGAAAGCCCTGAGTCTGTGGCATTAGCCGGAGTCGGTCACCATCTTGGAGCTGAGAAGGGCCATGTGGTTGCCTGGGAGCCGGTGCAGCGTGCTAATGCTGCGTTGCGTGCACGCCGCCGTTTCTGAAGTGAGCTTTTTCTTGTTCATATGCTGATTTTTAAAAACACACGTCTGACTTCAGTAATACCTTCTAAAAATGATTTGTCCCAGTACTTTTGTGGTGGTGTATTTTGTATGTTTGAACAAAGGTAGGAAGTTTTTTTTTTTTTTTAATTTGTACAGAATTGAAGACTGGGGGCCCTCAAAAGGTCAGCCTGAAGCTTCCTAGGATTAATATGTAAGTTTAATTTTCCCTCACATTTTCAGGTGTGTGGAATAATGGGCATAATACTGGGTTTTCAGATTTTGATGGGGAAGGTAAGCACATGAGCCCACATAGAATACTGGATTTTTTTTTTTTTTAACTGGAAAATTCCTTGAAGGTTTACATACTGTATGAGAGATCCAGAAAGACAGGACTGACGACTCAGTAAATCAGAAGCTTGGGATCCTGGAGCTGACTGTGGGCTGTGGACAGTGTCTCCTGTCCCACTCACACCCAGCACGCGTGATGTCTGGTCCGATGGCATTGTTGTGTCCTGCTCTCAGAGTTCATACGATGCTGACTAGCGTTCTGAAAGGTAGCTTTGTGTTTCCAGCGAGTTCAAGCACAGTCACAGCACTCAGTGATATTGAGAGAAGCAATCTCTAGTCTTTTTGAACATTTGCCTTGATCAGCAAAAGCTCTTAAACGTAAAAACTTACCCTATCAAACATCCATGTTTAACATAGAAACAAAGGATGACATAAAAGTAATTATTAGAAATCAGTTTTTAATATGAGGGAACTTCTGAAAGTTTATGGAAAATGGAATTAAAAGATAAGTCCGGGGGCAGGCATTGCAGTGCAGTGGATTAAGCTGCCACTTGGGACACCTGCATCCTTGTCAGAGAGCCTGGGATTAAGTCCCATCTCAGTTTCTGGTCCAGCTTCCTGCTATTGTGTCTCGGAAACGGCAGAGGATGGCCCAAGTGCTAGAGTTCCTGCCTCCCACGTGGGAAACCTGGATGGAGCTCCTGGCTCCTGGCTTCAGCCTGGCCCAGCCCTGGCTGTAAGTGGGCATTTTAGGTAGTGAACCAGCAGATGGAAGATCTCTCTCTGACTCTCCTTTTCATTCTGTCACTCTGCCTTTCAGATAAATTTTTTAATAAGTTTATTTTGGTGCAAAAGTGTTTTATAGTCCATACATAATTTTTTTTATAATAATCATTTTCCACGAACTTTTGGAAGGCTCCATGTAATTTCTTCTCGCACCAAGCAGACTGTCTCGTGCGCCCTCTGGAAACACGAGCTCTGCTCTGCAGACCACCTACTCAGCTACTGCTTCTCAGTCCAGTCCCTTAAAAAGTGTTTCTTTTCATCTACTTGAAAGGCAGAACATAGAAAGAGAGACAGATCTTCCACCTGCTGGTTCATTCCCAAATGCCCATAACGGCTGGGGCTGGGCCAGGCCAAGGCCAGAAGCCCCAAATTCCATCTGGGCTTCCCACATGAGTGGCAGGTGCCATCACCTGCTGCCTCCCAGGGTGCAGCAGCAGAAACCTGGAATGGGAGTGGAGGGAGCTGGAGCTCAAAGCAGCACCTTGATGATGGGATGCAGGTTCCCGAGCAATGGCTAACCCCCTGTGCCCCAGTGCCTGCCCTTCAATCCAATTTTTGGGCCCCCCAAAAAAAAAAAAAAAGTGCTTTTCTTGTGATATTTGGAAAAATCGTAGAAGGGACTTTCTTCAGAGGAGGCTGTCATCAACTTGGAAACTTTCACATTTTTACTCCTAAGTTGCTAAATAATCACCAATTTCCAAATGTTTTGTAGGACTTCGTACTTACTATTTTTGATGGTCTTTTGTCTCTTTCATGTTCATGTTAGGTATAACTCAATTTATTTTACTAGTCTGCTTACAAAGTTCTTTTGGCCTTATATTTTACCACCAAGTTCAGGATTATTTCAGGTTGCTTTAGGTTAAAATATATAACAGCTTCCATTTCTTCATTTTTTTTCACTCCTGACACTTGAGCTTCTGGAGGAATACTCTTCTTGATATGTCTGCACTTCATTTGTGTGTGTTTCATTTGCCCGTGGAAGTGTGCTGAATTGCCATCCTTAGGTGTGCAAACAAGTGTGGAAAGGCATGCGGGTCCCTCTGTGCAAACCCCCAGGAAAGTGAGACTGCTCGTGACACAGTGTGCGCTCTGAGGGTTTGATGGTGTTTCCAAAACAGAACTGGCAGGCAGTATTCAGTCCACGGTGTGAGTGCAGGGCAGGGCAACTCTGATCGCCTGCAGCAGACACTGGACCTGAGAATAGGTTCTATGGAAAGTATTTTGCTAATTTTCTGCTTGGTTTAGGGTCAACAAGTAAATGCTTGGTGGGTGTTTTTAATGCTGCTAGCGTTGCCTGAGTCACAGAGCCCTGCTACTCCCCTTAATGTCATCAGAACTGTTTCCTGAAGTTGGAGTTCTAATCTTAGAATCTAGAATTCTCGTGGGTGGTGGTGTATTAAACAAGACGAGAAGGCGGCTTGGTTTCATTTCTTGTGCCTGGTGGAGCCTGTTCCCGTGAAAGTCATGTTTTGACCTGTCAGCACGGCAGATCTGACAGGCGAATTGCTGGTTGTGGTCGAAGTGCTCCATCTCAAGCTGTTGGCTTCTCTAAGCTACTTTTCTGAAGTTGTGATAGGTTGATGGGATGCCAGAAAACCCTGGTTTCTAGGGTGTGTCAGTCTTGCAGCTCAGTGTTGTGAAAGATGGAAATCCAGAGAGGGGCAGGAGTGGCTGCAGGCTTCCTGCTGAAGCCAGGCAAGCAGGCTGTGGCCAACGAGGACGTCCATGAGGGGTCCCTGCAGCCTGCCAGGTCTTGTGACCGCTGCTCTTGGGAGTGCAGCACACATCAGGAAGTTGCACGAGGCTTGAAACTTCACTCGGAGACATTTAACGGGGAGACTAGAACACTGCTTCCAGGTCATCCTGACTGAGTACGCACAGGTTTGCGTGTAGGTGAGCACTGGTGTGTTGGCTGAGTGTGTGTATAAATCTGTTTTCAGAGGGAACATGTGTTACTCATCCTCGAGACTAGGAAGGCTCCTGGTCTTGTTTTATACTAAAACTTAAAAAAAAAAAAATTGCTGCAACTTGCAGTTGTCATTTTTTAGAGATTAATGACTTACACATTTCATTTTTTAAAAATAGATTTTTAGGCCTTAAAGACTAATTGCTTACTAACATTTTAGAGATCCAGTGCTTCTATGTGACATATTCCAAATCAAATCATCTTAAACCATTCTCTTATGTTCATGTATTACTGAGCAGGTAAGGATGTTTTCTTAAAATTTCTGTATTTACATTTGCTTTTGTGTAAAATGTTCATCAGGTTGGTTTGTAAGTCTCAGAGATTTATACTAGAAGTGGGATTTCTGAAATACAGAGGTTTGACGATTGATAGGGTAGTGGAGGGCTTCTGGCATTGTTGCCTGATTTTTCTTTTTGAACTGTACATAATTAGCCGCAGTGAAACCTCCGTACTGTGGGCTGAAGTCTTCACAGTTCTGCCTTGCTTCCCATCTCAAAGACCCCTTCCGAGTCCTGTCCCTTCCAAGGGCTGTGAACCCTGCTGGCTGGCCTGGGGTCTGTGGCTGGGCCAGGGTGGGGGCGGGGATGCCCTGTGGCTGGCCCAGCATTCTCACCAGTGGAATCGCTCGAGTCCGCGTAGGGCTGAGGGGTGAGAGTGCTCTATCCTTGTATTAAATCACTTGGCACTTTCTTGGGCACAGTTATTAGCACTGTTGGTTTTTAATAACTGGAAGCACTTAATGATTATTTTGTTTAATTTCAGCGTAAGGGTTTCGAGGGTCAGGGCAGTCAGGTTTCTTTCTCATGCATAGCTTCTGGAAATTGAGAGTCGGAAGACGGCGTGAGCAGATGACTGAGCCGGCCTTCTCGCGCCGTGGGCCTGCTCTTCGGCCAGGATGTCGTCAATGACTGGCAGGCTTTCAGGATTGTGCTTTCTAGAAATGTAGGACTTTTTATAATGATTTGCATTTGATAGACTACACTTAATTTTGTGAAGTATCCGACTCTTCCTGTTTAATCACCGTTACTTATTGTCTGTTACGTAGGCGGCAGTCCGACTTCTGAGACATGTCTGCGTTTTGTTTTGGGGCAGTGTCAGCAGTGAGCAGGTGTCCCGCGGTTGCGACAGTAGCGTCCTTCATGGACTGCCGCGGCCGTGGAGTGGCGTCTGCTCCCGGGTGAAGACAAAGCACACAGTTCACCTTTGACTACCCCAGGGCTCTTCATTGGGTTTGGCCCTAGGTCTTTGCCAAGTGCAGTCATAGCGATCTCTTCACTCTCGCCTCGTGGCAGCTTCATTTATTTTTGTGGGTAGGGAAGATTAAAGACGAAACTCAGTGCAGTCATTTTGCCTAGTGGTTAGCTTGGGTTTGAGGTGAATAAAACTGATTAATAATAGTTTCTTAGAATTATGACCTTTATTCACCAAATGAGAAATTGGCTTTAAAAAGTGTGCAGCTTTGCACTTTGAAGAATAAAGTAAGAATTTTCCATTAGCCCTACTCGATGTTCTGCACAACATGTCCTCCTCAGAGACAGGAGTGAGGGGGTCTTAGGTATTGACTGCGGGGGCACTGGCGGCCCGTGGACTAGCAGGGGTGTGCGTGCCGAATGGTCAGCTCTCAGTCCCATTTAGCACGTGTCCCCCAGGGACTGCTGCAGTGGTCTCCGTCAGGTGTGCTGCAGGGAGCCATGCGACCTCACGGGCACGCGTCGTCTGGGGTGTGTGGCAGGAAGAACTTGGGGTGCTTTCCTCGAGCCAGTCAGCCCAGCTGAGAAGACGCTCGCTTCACTGTTTATTCCCGCTTGTCGATCTTACTGACATCAGCATCTCAGAACTTCCGCGTCGCTGTGTATGCTTTGCAAGCACGTGCCTACCCGAATGAGCAGTTGTTACAGTGTTACTAGTAACTTGTCTTGATTGATTTAATGTGCTTCATGTTAGGAGACCTTCAAAGTATTAAAAGGTGACCTTTCTTCTTTTCTTTTTCCTAAATATGCCATTAAATGGTAACTGTTAACACTTGCTGCATCATTAATTGTTGATACAGCTGGAGAGAGACTGCCTCCCTGTCTTCTCCCTCAGCAGCCTGACTCACCTGTAGGGCAACACATGGAAGTTGTTTTACGTTTGCTTGGGATGAGTGCAGCTGGTTTTGAATTCTGTTTGTGGCTGAGAAACTCGACAGGGCTGAGGTGGGTGAGGAAAAGGACGCCTTAGCACTTGGAGAGCTTCGTGCTGCCCTGCTTTGTAAAGGAAAAACAGGGTGGGTGTTTGGCATTGCTGTCAAGGTACCCTTGGGATACCCGCATCCTATATCTGAGTGCCTGGGTTCAAGTCCCGGTTCTGCTTCCTCTTCCAGCTTCCTGCTGACGCACACCCTAGGAGGCTGCTTGATGGCTCATTTGGGTCCCTGCCACCCACGTGGGAGACCTAGATGGAGTTTCCAGCTTCCCCCCGCTTCAGCCTGGCCCCGTCCTGGCTGTTGCAGGCATTTGGGGAGTGAACCAGGGGACGGGAGATTAGTTTCTCTCTCTGGCTTTAAAATAAACATAGAGCAACATTTTTAAAAAGAAAAGACAAAAGTATAGTTGATACCCGGTGCATTTGCAGAGGCAGGGGCTGGCGGTCCGGTTTTCCATCATTTCCCCGGTTTTTTGCAGACATTTTGTTAACTTCTATAATGGTGATATACATCTTTTAAGAAAGATGATACATTTTTTTAAAAACTATTTTATGAAAGAACTGACAGAGGAATTTGCTTTGTATAATGCAATCTAGCTTTAAGAAAGCACTGTAGCAAGTTTACTATAAGTCCAAAATTATACAGATATGTTAATAGATCTATGTGCAACTAGATGTGGACAACAATTGTATTTTTTTAAATAAATATTTTTAACAAAATGCTTATCTGAATCGATCGTTCATTTTCCTTCTCACATCCACTTGAGGTGGTCTTGGTGTTGTTTTCATCCATGCTAACTGGAGTAAGGAAAGCGTTCCAGTTTCTCAGTGGGTGTTACTAAGACCTGCCCTCAACTCTGCTGTGTACGTGAGCACTGTGTACACGTGTAGTGACCCCGCCACTGTCACAGGTGGCAGAGGGAGATGGTAAAGTGACTGTGATAGAAAGGGAGCGGGGAGAGAAACGACTGACCGACCAGCTGAAAACAGCATTCACCACGGAAATCTTTTATTTTTAAAAATTAACATCTTAAAAGGGTTTTAAAAACGTCACCAGATGCTTTTACTGTAGCCCTTGAGGAGGAGCAGCTTCAGCTTGCTTCTGTTCCAGGCACCGTTTGTACAGTTTTTGAGATAAGAAACCGGAGGCTTTAATTCATTTAGCAAACAAAACGAGGCCTTTTCGGAACTGGGCTGGGACGTGGCATTAGTAGGTGAGAGTCACATCAGAGACAACTGTTTCTGGAGGGGAGCAGAACAGAGAGGCAGGTCCTCAGAAGAGGCACTTCCCTACCCCTGGAGGGGTGCCCGGGGTGTGAGTCCCACATCCAGGCCGCAGAGGGAAACCTGGGAACGGGGGAACTCCAGGCCCCTGGATGCCAGACCCCAAAAGGAAGTGTGGATCCCAGCCCTGCCTGCCCGAGCTGATTCTGAAGTGTGGGCTAAGCGGCTGTGCTTGGTTCTCTGGCTGGTTCTAAGAAGCCACAGTGGCTCCCGGCACTCCTGCCTGAGTTTGTTTTGTCTAGAACAGCAGCCCCTTGAACCTGCAGGAGAGGCGCCTGTCGCCAGAAACACCAGGCCCTTGGTTCTGAGCTTCTGAAGTAGAATCAGTGGTCCTTCACGATGGAGAACACATTTATTAAGTTTAAAATACTTTTATTTTAGGAAAGATAGGCTTAGATTTGTTTAATCCTGTTTTCTGCAGTAACAAATTAATCACAATCAACTTAGTTATAACCATTGATTCTTTCTAAATCTGTATAAAAAGATATTTTCCTGAAAAACCACAAGAAAAAATACAACTGCTTTCTCTTTGCCCCATCCCTCATCTCCATAGTTAGACTGCACATTCAAATTTGGCTGGCCGCTAACTTAGAAGTATTTACAGAGTTGAAACTATAGCCCTGGACCACCAGCTTTCCAAAGAAGCTGGATCTGTTGAACTTACAATAAATAGATACCAAGCATATGAACAGTTTCCAAACTGCTTAGAAGGAAGTTTTAAAAATAGAAATTGCTAACATTTACTAAGCAATCTCTGTGTCAGGCTTATAGTAATTCCTTTATACAAATTAATTTAGTTCTTTGAAAATTCCTCTGAGGTAGGGTAAGTAAGTACTTTTAGAAATGCCACGAAACTGGTGAAAAAAGCCAGGGTTAGAGCCTCAGAAGTGCGCCCAGGGCCACACAGCCGGAAGGTGAGGCCAAGGCTTGGACCGGGTCTCCAGCCAGCTCCTCGTCACGCAGTTAGGATGCCGGCGGTCAGAGTCGGCTAACTGGATGGTTCACCTACAGGCCCAGGCATGTGGCCCACGGCACTTGGGACAGGTTACCAAGAAGCCGGATCCACCTCACCTGGATGCTCCTGCGTGTGCGTCTGTGTCTGCGTGAGCAGCCGGGAGACTGCGGCTCTCACAGCCTCCCAGTCCCGCCCGAGCCAGCAGGTCTGCAGTCCCACCTGTGTCACCACAGGACCCTCAAACTGCACGCGGCGTCGCTCGGCAGCCTCGGCTTTTTGTTAAAGGGAAGACCTTGGTGTGGAGTAAGCTTTTCTGTACAGAAGACGTAGAATTAAACTTACGCGTTTTGGGGAAATTCTTTGTGCTATTTCTTAGTCCTTTTATATGCTTGTCAATTCAGCAAAGAAAAGAGAACATGCATCTCATTATCCCCAGAGACTGTGGACCCATTAGCGTTGCCCGTTAGCGGTGGCAGGCCGGAGAGTGTCTAACAAGGCCATGATTTTAGCTCTTGCCGGTTTGTGCAGTGTAAATGCTCTCACCATGGCTGACCTCAAGACACAGACGTGCTGTCACTGAGAGCAGAGGGGGCACAAGCAGCCCAGAAGCTGGCGTGACACAGTAACCCTATCCCCCTCCCGATACCCTGGACACCCGTCACCTCGACAGCCTCCCTAACACGGTGACGGACTGAGTTCTGAGTATTTATTACCTTTGCTTTTAATAGAAAGCCCGTGTAATTCTAATAATGGCTGCATTTAGCCAGCCCTCAAATTTACCAAGCATCTTCTCGGGGCTGGCGTGAGGCAGCCCAGCATCCCACTGCGTCCGTGCCCCAAAGAGCAAGACTCGGGCTTCCAGGCCTGCCTGTCTCAGGGTACAGGAGAACTAGTGGTGTCGCTGCAGGGATGAGGGACTCGGCTGTTCCCGGGTAAGCAGCACACGATGCACGATGCTTTGTGCATGCCAGGGAGCCCTCCGGGGTTGGCCTCGAGTCCTTGAAAACACCGACAGAGAGCCCTGCTCCCAGAGCAAGAGTGAGCCCAACCCAGGGCATGGTCCATGCAGGAGGTGGAAAAGGAAGGGAAGCACAGGCTGCCTCCTGCCTTCCCGGAGCTCCTGCACAGTTCTTGGCAGGGTCTGAACCAGGTTGGGGGGCAGGGAACGTGAAAAGCCGGGTCAGTGTCTAATGATTCGCCTGGGGAGGACCCAGGTGCCAGGCCTCAGCAGAATTGCTTCTGGAGATAGGAACAAAGGCATCAAAAGGTTGCCTCCGCTGCAACCCTCAGCTCTCCAATCGTCTGGGGGTGGCGGGCGCCCGAGGCGGGGGGCACTCCTCGTCACCCCCATGGCGTGGTTTACCTCTGGTAACACTCGGCGCTCTCCATGTCCAGGGGTTTGTCTCGGGTCTCATCTAGGAAAGAAAAAGCCCAACCCAGGGTGAGTAGCAGCCACCACGCATCGCTGTGCTTGTCCTTGCTTCCCTGCCTTTCTTTGGCTCATGGAGGAGCAAAGTGAAGTCACACCTACCGGTTCTGGCCCCCTGGGGTCTGGGGCCTGGGGGATGTGTAACTGTCTCTCACGAATAAAGAACCAATTGGGGCCGGTGCTGTGGCGTAGCAGGTTAAGCCGCCACCTGCAGTGCCTGCATCCCATATGGGCACCGGTTTGAGTCCCAGCTGCTCCACTTCCCATCCAGGTCTCACTATGGCCTGGGAAGGCAGTGGAAGATGGCCCAAGTCCTTGAGTCCCTGCACCTGCGTGGGAGACCTGGGAGAAGCTCCTGACTCCTGGCTTCAGGTCAGCACAGCTCCGGCCCTTGCAGCCAGTTAGGGAGTAAACCACTGGATGGACGACCTCTCAGCTTTGCCTGTGTAACTCTTTCAAAAAAATTTTTTTTTTAAAAGAACCAAGTAAGTGGTACTTACAGGCTGTTCAGCAAATACTAACTGAATATGAATCTCAAGTGAAGCCCTGTGCCCAGGGCTGGGCCTGACAACCCCTGGGACCTGCCTTCTCAGAGGCTCAGCTCGGCCATTGTACTGAGTGTGGAGAGAGGTGGGCTCATGTCCACCTGCTCCAGGGAGCTCGAGCCTGTGGACACTTGCCCCTCCGGTCTCAGCGTGTTTCTGCCCGGGCACCTTCTGAGAACTGGCTGCATGTCCAGCCCCCCGGCCTGGGGTCTCCAGGAGAGACCGTGTTCTCAGGAGACGGCTCTGCTTTCTTTGCCACTTGGCCTGAAGAGCTGCTTTTGGAAAAAGATCTGGACTCGAGTCAAAACCCTGAACTGCAAAAGGGATGGCCAATTAGGCCGCTGGGCAGAGTTCCAGTCCAGGAGGCAGGCTCTGCCTTGCAGTGCCGGGGATAGGCTGGGAAGAGATCGCTGGCCCACAGCTCCGTGGCGTGGTGGGACGCAGGAAGCCAAGTTCACAATCCACGCCCCGCTGCTGACAGAGAAACCCTGAGTCAGCCGTCTGCCCTGCGCCCGCCTGCCTCGGAGTCCGGCTTAAACAATTGCACGGAAAGCAGGAAGAGGGGAGGAGGAAGCTGTAGAAAAATAAACATTTCCGTGCATTCTGCTTGCAACGGAATGGCGTTTTTGGCCTGCTGTGGCCCACAGCTTCTGCCCCAGCCTCCCCCGAGCCTTCGCGTACCTGATGAGAGTGCAGGGTGTATCCTGTGGAAAAACAGCAGCAAGATGTAGAAGGTGAAAGCCAGGCAGCCAAAGATCACGCCGCACACCAGGAAGCTGTAGCTGCCCTGGGCCTGGAATATCTGTGGAGGGGCAAGACGCGGGCGCTGACACAGCAGCAGGAGGGGCGCCGGGAGGGTGCCGGGAGGGTGCCGGCAGGCGCGGCCGGGTTCTTGGGCAAGTCAGCTCCAATCCCCAGTGGGGAGACGCATGCAGAGGAGGGAGCACCTGGCCTGCCTCACCACCTCCTTAGTTCTTTCCAGCTCCGTGTCCTGGAACCTTCTGAGAATTTCCCCATCACCACTGACAGGCCAGCCATACGAGGTGTCTCTGGACCCGTAAGGCCCAACTGGAACTTGGCAGAAGATACCATTTTTTTGTCCTTCCACGTATATGATGAGGACGCAGGACAACGTCAGAGCAGCACACAGAGCGGCTGTTATTTGGCACCGTGGTTAAGATGCCACTTAGGACACCCGCTTGCCCTGGATCTGAGCGCCTGGGTTTGAGTCCTGGCTCTGCTGATGCCGCGTCCTGCTAACGTGCACCCCAGGAGGCACCAGTGAGGGCTCAGGTACTTGGCTCCCTGCCACCCACGTGGGAGACCCGGATTGAATTCCAGGCTCCTCACCCTGGCCTGGCCCAGCCCTAGCTGATGTGGGCATTGAGCCAGTGGCTGGAAGATCTTCCTCTCCACTTCCGTCTCTCACCTTTCTAATAAAAATGAAGACAAAATATTAGCTAAGGCCTTAGAAAAGCAGCACACGGCACATCCACAGGCCCAGCACCCGTCAGGAATTAGCACCAGTTTCATCGGGAGCCGTCTGCTTCCTGTCCTAGAGGACACTGAAGCAAATCCCAGACACTACGTCACATGCTGGGCAGGACAGGCGGCAGTGTGGTGACGGATGAAGGGGACTCTGGAGAGGGGACCCGGGTGTGTCACTCTCTGCCTGTCACTAGAAGTGTGGCTGACCCAGGGCAAGTAGCCACACCCCCCCCATCCCCCGCTCCTGCTCCCCTGTGTCCCAGGGACTCCTCTCTACACAAGTGCTCAAGAACACAGATGTCCGTGTTCTGGTGGACAAGCGACACGTGGTTGGTTGTGTTGCCCTGGTAGGGGTGGGAGGTGGGCGGGCAGCGGGCCCCTGGGCAGTGAGAGGTGGCGTGGGAGTGAGCAGGGTGGGAAGGGAGCCCCGACTGCCGCCCCAACCACCGCGATCTCTGCGAGCCCTGCGCCATTCCCACGGCCCCCCGGCCCCGCTCCCAGCCTTGGCTCGCGTTCGCTCTGGACTTTTCCACGTGTCTGTTCTCGTCCCCAGGCCCCACAGCTGGAGGCTCGGAAGCGGAAACAGGTACCAGCAGCTGGGTGGGGCCCCACTGGCCCTGCAGACCCAGGAAGGGGCCAGCTGCACCTTCTCACCTGCTCGGGGTGGGCGCCCACCTGCCCCCCATGCCCGGAGTCCCCCACTCACCGATCCCACCAGCATCTGCAGGGCCATCTCGCCGATTCCTGCCCCCGTCACCAGCACGGTGGTGGCACAGCCTAACAGAGAGAGAAGGGCTCAGTGGGTAAGTGAGCTGTCGGTACCCGTGCTGCCGTGGGAAATCTCGCGAGAGGGACGGCCATCTGGCAGGCCTTCGGATTCCAAAGCTTGCTCAGCCCTTCGCCTGTATCTCCCTTGGGGATGCTTTTGGTCCCGCATCGTTAGGGCCCTTTGTTCTGGAACTTTCACTGGCTCACCCCTGTCTGCAGTCACTTGCCTGGCCTTCAGGGCCTTTCCAAGCTGGTCACCACCTGCCTTTCCAGAACCTTCCTCGTATCTGCAGGCCCTGGTCTGGCACAGGGGAGCCAGGCTCCTCTGATGTACCTGAAGGCGTGGCACAGACCATGCCGAGCCCAAGCTCCAGTCAGACTTGGCTTCCAAGCCCCGCTGTGTCACCTGCCAGCCACGTGACCTTGGACGAAGTCGCCAGCCTCTCCCTGTCCTGTGGGCCTCGCACCAGCTCCTCCTGGGGTCCCTATGTGGATTCTGAGATGACCCGGGCCAGGTCACCGGCGCGGTAACTGCCAGGCCAGCCCCCCACTCACACGCTCCCACTCCTGCCTGTGGACCCCTGTGACTGCCAGGCCCAGCTCTCCGTCTGCTCGTGATGCAGCCAAGTTCTCCCCAGGACCCTGGCCAGCCCTCCCCTCGCTCCTGCTGGTCGGGCAGACTCCCGTGCACCTCTGGGTCCTAACATTTCCGTCAGCGTCTCTTCTGCAGCCCCTAAGCTGGGATTCGTGGCTTCCGTGTGCTCCTACCTCACCTGCCGCCTGCCTCCCCGCCTGCCAGGAGCCACCCAGGCCTGCAGCACACTGGCGTGTGGTTGGCGGTGGCACAGTGGGGACACATGGCAGGCACTGGAGCGTTTCTGAATAAAAGTCGCGTCACGCGGGCAGCAGACTCCCCCAGCTCTTTCCTTTGCCTTCTGTCCACACCGTCTCTGTTCCTGGCCCCTACCTCCGCCCCACCCCCGGTGCCTCCCCCTTTCCTCGGCCTCCAGCCCCTGAGCCAGCTTACGCCCCCTCCCCCTTCAGGCCTCTCTGGATCCGGCACTGGTCATTGCCAGAGGTCCAGGTCTTCTATTCCTGTGCCCCAAACCCAGAGAAGTGTCAGGCGTCCGGGTCTGCTGGCCCGCATTCCACGTCACAGTGCCTGGGAGACTCCCAGCCTCAGCTCCTGACCCAGTGTCCTGCTCGTGTGCAGCCCGGGAGGCAAGGGTGACGGAAGGAACTGGGAGACCCGGACTGAGGTCTGGACGCCTGGCTTTGGCCCCCCCGCATCTGCACCCATCTGTGGAGTGAATCGGCTGATGGGAGCTGTGTCTCTCAAATAAATAAAAATTTTAAAAATATGCCGAGGATTCTGAGCAGCTGAACTGCCAAGAGTTTTAAGTTTTCTCTAAAGCATAGAATAATCCTAAAAACAAAAATAGCATTTGCACCCCCATTTTACAGGTGAGAAAATCGAGACTTGGGAAGAAAATGAGATGATAGAAGGTCATAAAACCAGTGGGTGGGGACGTCGGGGGACACTCAGGGCTGTGGACGACTTCAAAACCCAGGCCCGTGCCCTAGTGGAGGCAGAAACCACAGGCACGGAGCCTGGAGATGCATCAGACACCAGGGCCGGGCACGATGTCGCTGGGGCACACCGCTCCTGTGGGCTTCCTGGAGGGGTGGGGAGGGCAGGCCAAGCGGGCAGAGCAAGGGGTGGGAGAGACAGCCAGGGCGTCGCAGCCAGAGGCTGACCATGCGCCCAAAGGAACGACAGGGAGAGAGAGGGCTGGGGAGAGAAGGTGGGAGCTGGCAGCACCCGGCCGCAGCAGCGAGGCGGGGTGCAGGCGGTGGGCCCAGAGGTGAGGCCCACTGGGATTCGTGATGAGAGCTCCAGGTGGAGCCAGCTGGCTTAGGAGGGCGAGGAGACCGTGCTCCCGGTTCAAACAGGTCAGTGAGGCTGCAGGCCTGGCCTCGGGGGGGGACGCCGAGAGGGGCAGAGGAGGGGGCAGCAGAGACCGCAACATCCTCTCATGACGTCACTGCTCCCGGGGTGGGGGGCTGGCAGCGGGGAGGGGCTGGGCTGCTGTGGGCAGCAGAAAAGATGGGTGCTTGGTCGGCTAGAAGGGCTGCCTGATGCCTGGCCCGTCTCACTCTGCCCAGGCCAGCACCTCCTCAGAGCCACGCCTCCTCCAACAGAACTACCAGGTGCGCCCTGAGACCCCTCCCCGCACACAGGACCAGAGACAAACACGGGGACACTGGATTCTTCCACTCATCGGAGCACATGGATGCTTTCCTTCTAAATCACGGATAGACAGCTGGCGGAGGCCAGCCTGCTCTCATTTGGATTTCAGAACGTACGCATATGCGCAGAAGGAATCCAGGAAGGAACCAGGAGGGTTATTTTCAGCCACTCTCACTGCTTCAAAAACACACTCTGTTACTTGAGATTTTTGTAGGGAACATACTGCTTTTATAATAAAATCTTTCCATCTTGAAAATGAACGCCGGGGCCGCCGCTGTGGTGTAGTGGGTTAAGCCTTCGCCTGCAGTGCCAGCATCCCATATGGGCACCGGTTCAAGCCCCAGCTGCTCCACTTCCATTCCAGCTCCCCACTAATGGCCTGGGAAAGCAGTGGAAGATGGCCCAAGTCCTTGGGCCCCTGCCCATGTGGGACACCCGGAAGAAGCTCCTGGCTTTAAATTGGCTCAGCTCCAGCCGTTGCGGCCATTTGGGGAATGAACCAACAGATGGAAGACGACTACGATGGCTTAGTCTGGGCCAAACTGAAGCTGGGAGCCAGGAGCTTAATCTGGGTCTCCCATGTGGGTGCAGGGGCCCAAGCACTTGGGCCATCTTTACTGCTTTCTCAGGTTCATTAGCAGGAATTGGATCAGAAGTGGAGCAGCCGGACTTGAACAGGCGCCCATATGGGATGCTGGCATCGCAGGTGGCAGCTTAACCCACTGTGCCACAATGCCACACCCCTCCCCTCGTTTTTTCCCAGTGATCCAGGCTCTTCTTGTGTGCTGTGACTGTGGGAAGCGGAGTCAGGTATAGCTGTAATTGTTCTAACCTCTGTAGACACCAATATCCTGCACTTGTGAAGAAAAAAAAATCACTCATCTTAATGCTGGTTTTCCAACCTCTAGGGAGACTCCGGTTACTTCTAAGAGTAATGTTAAGTGTTCAAAACATAATTATTTTTAATGAACTCATTATAAAGAAGAGCTTTGGCGTGTGCACTGGGGAGGGCCGGGGAAGGGCAGGGAGAACGGATGAGAGAGAGATTTCTGACGCCCACGCCAGGCATCTTTCAAAGCCTGTGTGCTCCCTACAACAGTTGCCACGCAAGGCAAGCTTGGCTGAGGCACTGCAGGCGGCCACTGTAAAATGCCTTTCTCACGCCAGCTGCAGCTCCACAGACTTCTCTGTGGGGAACGACACAGGTGTGATGTTGAGTGGGGCCAGCCACGTGGAGCAGAGCGAGTGCTGCAGGTGCACCTGCTCCCGGCCAGGGCCGGCGGGAGCGCTCAGCTCTGCGGAAGGGAGGCGCGGGGCGCGGCGGGCTCTGCGGGAGGGAGGCGCGGGGCGCGAGGCGCGAGGCGCGGCCACTCACCCGTGTACTGGAGGATGTCCTCGGTGTAGGCCAACATACTGGGGAAGGTGCTACTGAGGAACAGGCCCAGGCTGGCCGTCCCCAGGAACAGGAAGAGGACGTCGTAGGAGCAGATCAGCAGGAACAGGAATGTCACCAGCACGCCGACCTGTCGGCGCGGAGGCGGGGGGCGTGAGAACCGGGGTAGGGAAGTGGGGAGAAACTGCGCGTCCCTGGAGCCAAGGAACCCCCGCAGCTCCTCCCCGGCCCTGGCGCGTCCGCGCTGGCGCCGCTGTGACCGGCGCGCCACCCTGTGGACAAGGTGGGAATGACAACGCTCCTGGTGGGAGCTGCCACACCAGCAGCAGCGGTTGGAGGTGTAACACTGCCTGTCCCCAGGGTCCATCCGCGTCATCAGCTCTTTTGGCCCTGCTGACCATGGAGGGCGGGGGGATGAGCACCCATCGCCCTTCCCCCACTAAACGCCCCGAGCCCACTGGGGCAGAGTGACAGGGAGGAAGCCCTCAGACAGCAGGAGAGGGGTGGCTGCAGGGTCCCTGCCCTCTGGGGCACCAAGCCAAGTTCCCAGGGAGGGTCAGCGCCACGGCGGCCAGCGTGCCCCTCCCCCCCGGGGCTTTGCTTCCCACTGGCCGTGCGGCCAGACCACTACCACGGGCTGCTGGGCCCAGGAACCTTCCTAGTTCAGTTGCATGGGCATAGTTTTTTAACCCCATTTCTAAGTTTTCTAAAAATGTTTTTGTGTCCACAGTGATTTCAATGCAAAACACACCTGGGGAGAAATGCAGGCAGGAGGAGAGTGGCAACAGAGGGCCAGGCGTGAGCCGACCTGTGCTTTACAGCAGTGGGCACCTGAAGCTGACCCCGTCCGAGCTTCCTATCTGCAGCACAGCACCAGTTACCAAAGCCACGCTAGGGCAGGCGCTTGGCCTCGTGGTTCAGGCACCACTTCTGGGAGCCCGGGGTTCGAGTCCTAGCTCTGCTCCCCATTCCAGCTTCCTGCTACTGCTCGGCGCTAAGTGCTTGGACGGACCTGGCTGGAGTTCCCGGCTCCTGGCTTTGTTGTGGCCATGTGCAGAGTGAACCAGTGCGTGGAAGAGCTGTCTCTGCCGCTTCTGCCTTTCTGATAAATAAGTGTCTTTCTTAAAAATCACACAGAAGCGGCTGGCGCTGTGGCATAGTGGGTAAAGCCTCCGCCTGCAGTGCCAGCATCCCATATGGGCGCCGGTTCAAGTCCCGGCTGCTCCACTTCCAGTCCAGCTCTCTGCTATGGCCTGGGAAAGCAGAAGATGGCCCAAGTCTTTGGGCCCCTGTACCCAAGTGGGAGACCCAGAAGCTCCTGGCTCCTGGCTTCGGATTGGCGTAGCTCTGGCCATTGTGGCCATCTGGGGAGTGAACCAGCGGATGGAAGACACCTCTTTCTCTCTCTCATTCTCTCTCTCTCTGCCTCTCTGTAACTCTACCTTTCAAATAAATAAATAAATAAACTTTTAAAAAATCACATAGAAGAGCTACAAAATGCAAACTGGCCCCACCCTGGGGTGGGGGTGACTGACTCAAGGCTGGGGGCTCCCTGGCCTCCACTGACCAGAAGGCCTTGGTCAGCTGGGCACCACGGTAAGCAGGTGGGGGACAGAGGCCAGCCCTGCTTCCCTGGCTCTCTGCGGGCTACCAGCAGGAGGCTGTGTCACACGGGGCCCCGGCCCCGGCTTTTTCTGCTTCCATGGGTATAAAACGGGAGACCCAGACGGGCAGGGAGGCTCCCAGGGGCACGCAGGTTGTCCCTTCCTCCTCTCCCGGCTGGCAGGGTCCAGTCCTGAGCACACGGCCAGGAGCAGAGACGGCGGCCACCTGCCACTCACCACATTGATGAACACCATGGTGGCGGGCTTCACTCTCGAGGAGACCGGGATGGAGATGAGCCGGCCTAGGGTAATGAAACCCCAGAAGAGACTGGGGAGGTAGCCGGCCACCTTGTGTCCTACGGACAGCGGCTTCTCCACGGCGTAGCTGTACACAAAGGCAGAATACTCCCCCTGTGGAGAGAGCAGGCCCTGCTGAGCGCCTGCAGCCCAGCCAGGCCGCAACCTCCCCGGGAGGCCCAGGCCGGGCCAGGCAAGCGCCGAGGGAGGCCTGGCTGGTGATGCAGAGCCCGGGGCTGAGCTGAGGACAGCGACTGGGGCGCCCCAGCTTACAGACTGCACCTGCAGAGGCCCGAGCTTGGCAGGGAAGTGCTGGGGACCCCGGGAGCGCCTGGCCACACGGGCACTGCTCCCCAGTGAAAAACATGAGGTGTGCACAAGCATCTCATTTCACAGCTGAGCGAGCAGAGAGCAGCGAGCTGCCCAAGGGCACACTGAGCGTTGGAAGTCACCCAGTGGTGTCACGAGTCCTGCCCGGGGTCGCGGAGGTTCTTTAAGGGCTCACGCTCTGGGTCCCGCACGGGGCAGCCAGTTAATCCATCAGCTATTTGGGCCTGTCCCAATCTAACCCTAAGAGACTTCTAGAAGGCGGCAATAAACAGGGCAGCAGAGGTCATTCGAGGAATGAGCTGCCCGTGGCTGCGGCCAGCTTTGCAGTGCATTGCCGGCAGCCCCTGCCCGGCGAGCTCACCAAAACAAGGCCCACAGGCGGTCTCTAGGGAGCCTGGGTGCACCCCGGACGGGAGGCCGCCCCGGTCCCCACAGGCTCACCGTCATCCCATCCGTCATGAACAGGACCAGGGCGGCCGTGATGTGGATGGCGAAGAAGGAGTATGGGGCTCCTCTGCAATTCTTGCGCTGGCAGCAGCTGAACAGGCTCTCATGCCCTGGGGAGACAGGAAGGGGCGGGGCTGGCAGGGGCGGGGCGGAGGGGAGACCACCTGCGGCCTCCTCTTGCTTTGTGCCTGGGGCGGGCCTGGAGGGACCTCGGCCCACAGAGGCACACGCAGGCGTGGGCAGAACCGGGGAGGCAGCCGGGCCATCTCCCGGCCCCAGAGCCCGCCGCGGCCAAGGTTTTCTCCTAACTGCTACCACCTGGGATCTGGGCTCACCCTCTCTGGGCGAGGGGTGGGAAAGGTCGTCAGAGCCCCCACCTGGGTGTGGCTGGTTCTTGCGGGGCAGGGAGGAGGCGTCTTCCTTCTCGGGGGGCTGCGTCTCCAGGGCCAGCTCGTCTGCACTCAGTAGCAGCGGCGTCCTCTGGGGGCAGCAGGTCAGCAGCCGCTCCTTGGACAGCAGGAACAGCACAGCCATGGGCACTGGCAGCTGGGGGGGGCGGGGCAGAGGGTCAGGCTCTCCTCCCCACGCCCGCCCGCCGCCCGCACTGCACGTGGCCGCATGGCACACGGCACAGCTGCACAGCCCCAGGAGAAGATGGCTCTTTTCCAAGGCTGCCCACCCCAGCGCCGCCCCCCACCACCGAGCCAGGCCCCTGACATGGCTGGCTGCTGGCTCATCTCAGTCACACCCGTTTCCCAGAAAAGACTGAGTGGAGCTTGGACTCTAGGCCTCGCTGGCCCATGAGGGTGCTGGGGGCAACCTCATTCCTCACGGCCTTGTCCTGAATAGACCTGGGGACCTGCACCTCCTGCCTGCGGGCTGGCAGGGCCCGTGACACCTAGGCAGCAGCTCTACTTCAGTCCATCACAGCGTTAGAAAGTGGGGGGTAGCATCCCCATTTTCCAGATGAAGCCACTGAGGCTCAAAGCAGGCACTGGGGCTTAGAGCTGTGGCGTAGCAGGTAGAACCACTGCCTGCAATGCCGGCATCCCATATGGGCACTGGTTCGCATCCTGGCTGCTCCACTTCTGATCCAGCTCCCTGCTGATGCACCCTGGAAAGGCATGTGGGAGACCCGGATGAAATTCATGGTTCCTGGCTTTGACCTGGCCCAGTGCCGGCTATCGTGGCCATCTAGGGAGTGAACCAGCGGGTGGAAGATCTCTCTCCCTCTCTTTGCAACTGTGACTTTCAAATAAATAAATCTAAAAAAAAAAAAAAAAAAAAAGGGCAAGCTGTCCCTCAGTTACATCCTGTTGGACGTGGAAAGGACCCGTGAGGTGCAGAGAGCAGAAGTGTTTGGGCTGCACCCAGGGGGCAGGGCCTGGGCTACTGCCCTGTGCAGTGCCTCTGGGGCTGCTGGGTGGTGTGTGTCCCAGGAGGGGCCACAGCTCTGAACAGACAACCCAGGCCTGGCCTCTTTCCATGCAAAGTGCATGTTTCCAAGCAACCCACGGGCCCGCCCCGCATTCAGTTAGGCTTTCCCTGGGCTCCCCAGAGCAGTGGGACGCGTCCCCTGCTTCCGAGGTTGCCTGGCGAGGCCTCAGCGCCTCCCGCAGGTGCCCCAGCTGCGGTCTAAACAGCCTGGCAGAGCCCTTCTCCCTGCCTGGGGCTGCTGCCCTGCTGCGACTCCAGCCCGGCTCCCTCGGGCCCTGGAAATCCAAGCACCCAGCCAGCTGCGGGCTCCCCAGGGTGGTGGGTGCAGCCAGCCCAGGGCTCCTCCCCGCTCACAGCCCTCACCCGCCCAGAGCTGCGCCAACCCCTGGAGCCCTGTCCCCTCCCCAGGAGGCAGGCTGGCTCACCGGGCATTTCCCAAGTTCTTCCACCAGTGTGAAAGTCAAAACATACCCCCTACACAGAGACTGGCACCTCCCAGCGGTGACCTGGGGAGCCTTGCTGCACACTCAAAAATAAGTCAAGGTCAGAGCCAGCTCCTGGCAGTAGGAAAGCCGCAAATCCTTGGAAGAGACAGCCCTTGCCCTAAGGGAGCTCCAGGGCTTGCTGGGGGAGACCCAGCCGTCCCTCTTCCGCGAGGTGGGGTAACAGGCACGGCTGGGGTGAAGGCCAAGGGGAAACAGCTGCGACAGAGGCCGAGCCCGCGGAGGAGGGACTTTCCAGGGAGGGGCGGTGGGGAAGACTTCCCAGGATTGGCTGGCAATGCCGGCAGGAGCACATTTAGACATCGAGAGTGACGGGGGGGGGGGGGGGGGCATGTGTGCCAGCAGGAGTGTGCCCGTGGGCACGCACCTCCCCATCCTCTCTGCACCGCACTGTTTATTTTCAGGCGCAAACCAATGGAAAAAGCCCGGAAATCCTGCAGCAAACAAAGTGCCTCCGTGGAGTCTGCACTTCTCGGGGCAGGAGACACACCTCGGGATTAAGCCGGCCCTTCCGGCTTCCTGGCCGTGCAGTCGCAGCCTCCCGTTCTGCAAACAGGGCTCCTGCCCTTCCCAGGTCGTCCGTGGAAGGCACAGGCCCAGAGTGCTTGTTCCCCCAAACAATGGACGGGCCTGGGCAGAAAGGGCTGGAGCAGTGGCCCCCAGTGAAGACTCCAGCACAGCCAGCAGGTCTGCGCCGGCGTCGGCCGCCCAGCCCGGCGCAGCCTCACTGGAGCCCCCGATCAGCACCTCGAGCCGGGGATGGCATGACAACTGGCGTGCAGCTCACACACGCATACGCACACGCACGCACGCACGCATGCATGGTGTTTCACTCAGGATGTACCTGCTGTCCTGCCCAGCAAGTCTGCCTGGAGCAGGGAGGCCCTAAGCTGGGGTGATGAGCAACTGGCGTCTCCACCCCTCAGCCAGGCCATCAGCCTCCAGGGATACTCCCTGCCCCCAGCCAGGAGGCAGGCACTCTGGTGCTGCCCAAATGCTTCCCAGGCCCGGCAGGGAGCAGACTGGTGGGTCTCCCCACCTGGGCCTCTGGCTGCAGGGGGGCTAAGGAGGGAAGCCTGCCTCGGACTGCAGAGCACGCAGAGCTGGCCAGGCTGACCCGGCCACTGGTGGGGGGGGGGTCTCTCTGCTCTGCCCTCACCACAGGCTGCCTTGGCCAGAGGAGCTCCTTGTGGCGGGGCATCTCATCTACCCCCCCAGGCTCCACAAGAGCTCCGGGCAGTGATGGAGGTCCCTGGAGAAGACCTTAACATCTGCCGGGCTCTGTCCTGGGGTCTACTTTATATACCGTGGCCCAAACACATGTCGCAGCACCTGCAGAGCCCCTGCTGGTAGAGGTGGACTGGAGGTGTGGACGGGCACGAGCCCTCCCCCAGCCCCCCCTGGGACACTCACATTGATGAGGGCCATGATCCAGAAGGCATAGGACACACGGGTGCCGGCCCCATCCTTCAGGGGCAGCCCTGGGAGTGTATGGTTGGGCCGCGGCTGGACCCCAGCGTGGTGCTGGCCCAGGACTCTGGCAGCATGGAACAGGTGGCTTCTGGAGGTGGCATTGACCGTGATGTTGGCGGGCAGGCAGCTGGCTTCAGACAGGAAGGGGTCAGCGATGAGGGGGCTCAGCAGAGCGCCAAAGCCCACGAAGAAATGCAGCACCTGGCAAAGTGGGGGTGCGGCTGTCTCCAGGCCCAAGAAGCCGCAGCCCAGACTTCCACCCAGTGTGTGTTCCCTCCGGGAGCCCCTGCCTGGCCCCAGAGTGGGGAGCACTACAGGGCAGAGAGCTGAGGCACCCTGGATGACAGTGACCAAACCCCCCCTCTGTCTCCTCTTTCCCCAATTGAACCCCCCACTGGGGCTGTTCCCCAAGTTAGCATCCACTGGCAAACGACCCAAAGGGAAGGGGCCCCACACAGGGGAGGGCTGGACAGGAGCCCCAGGTGATGGAGGGAAGGCGGCAAGGGTGTAGACGGGGACAGCAAGCCCACCCTCCTCACCACTCCCCTAGTTACAAGGGACTTTCCCCGCAGTGCAGGCAGGGGCCATCTCCCCGTCCTAGGGCCTGAGTCATGTGGGTTCCCCCTGCTGGCACCGTCCTGGCCCAGTGGGGAGGACTCTGGGGTTGGCAGGGGTTGGATGGGCCCAGGGAGCTCCCAGGCTCTGCCCATCCCCGGCCCCGGCCCGCTGGCTGGCTCACCTGGAGGAAGACGGCCGAGTCCTTCTGGTACATCCGCACCAGCTGCATGTTGGCCACGGTGTCGATGCAGCCCATGGCGAGGCCAGCCAGCGCCATGACCAAGGCCAGCACCTTGACATCGCGGCAGAGGGGGATGACGGCAAACACCAGCGAGATGACCAGAGTGGAGGTGAAGAGAGCCCATAGGGACTGGGCCAGGCTGAGCGGGAGAGGGCCGGGGTCAGCGGCGGGCCCAGGGCCTGCTAAGGGGCCACCCCTCCCTCCTGCCCTCCACTCACTCCGGGAGGTCCCACCCTCCGGCAGAAGGGGAAGTGACCCAGCAGCGCCACTCCAGGGTGGCTGTGAGCGCTCAAGATGCTGCGGCATGTGGCACACAGGCGGCCTAACCACTTCTGTTTGAGCTGCTTAAACCTTGCCTTGTTTGCTTCCAAACAATCGTGTGCAAAAACACTCCTGTCTCAGGACGGCTGCTCTGAGCACCTGCCCAGAACAGGGCTGGGTGCCTGCAACTGGAGCTGGGTCCCGGCTGCACCCAGATCTCTTGCCCTCCAGGGTGCCCTCCGCAGCCCAGGGGCACCTGGGCAGCTTGGTGATCCCTGCAGTAGGCAGAGGTCACCGGTTCTGCACCTGGCAGGTGTCTGGAGGGAGCTGGGAACCCGGAGGCTCTCCCCGCCGAGCCGCGACTGAGAGCCGGTCCCTCACAAGTGAATGAATGAATGAGCCCATGAATGAATGATGCATCTAAGGCTTTGTCAAGGTCTTTCGGGACATTCCGCCAGATTTGCAGAGAAAGAACGAGATTGTATCTTGGGGACCAGTTTGAAAGGCTAATGTGTGTGTGTTGGGAGAGGGGGGTGAAACTGGGCAGCAAGAAGATTCTGGAAGATTCTGAAAGTGCTGGGGGGGCTTTCTCACTTCCTGAAAAGGCAGAGAACCCCCACCCCCACCCGGGGCGGCCTCAGGCTGGCTGCTGGCTGGAGAGCTGGGTGGTGGAGGCAGGAAGAGCCGTCTGAGCTGCAGCCCAGCGGAAAGACGGGGCCCTGGGCACTTAGCAGCTGTTGGCTTTTTTCTTTTCTGTTCCAGGCTAATCTGTAGGGGAGATTGCTCAGAACTCAGAGTGGGAGGAAAGCAAGCTGGGGAGGCTGGGAGGCTGGGGGTGCTGCCCAGTCCCTCTCTACCCTCAGACTCTCTCTGGAGTCCCCACTCTGACGGTCCCCAGCGCTGGCTGCCCCTGCTTCTGCCACCTGCCCTGGGACGCTCCTGGCTCCCTGCGGTGTGCGTCTCACTTGTCTCCTCCCTGGCACTCAGCACAGTGGGAGGCAATGCTCACGGCTTCATGCAAACGTCAGACCAGACCTCTCTCGGAGTCTCCCCCTCTTCCTTTCCCTCAACAAGACAGACCAGGCAGCCTCCTGCGTGGCCCCATACTGTGCCTTCCACTATCCCGGCTGAGACCAGGACACAGACAAAGCCACGCCCTCACTCACCACCTGGCAGCAAAGTGGGGATTCCCCCAAGCCAGGTGCAAACACTCTCTGGAAGAACGAACGCGTTCTCATTGTTGCCTGGGTGAAGCCTCCAAGTCCGGGAGCAAGGTTCAGCGGGAAGGGTGCACCTCCTGGGTCCATGGCCCAGCACCAGGCTTTGCACACACACACGAGTGCACTCCTCTGTGGACAGGCAGCACACAGAGGCGGTGTGATGTCAGCAGCCCCAGTACACGGAGACGCTGGGCAGCAGCTAGCATGGTAGTCACACAGGAAGCGTGGGCATTTGCTCACCGCAAATGACAACGCAGAGAGGGAGATCTGTCTGCCCATGCTGTTCGCCCCAGGAGTAACGCCAGGCTGAGGAAGGCGAAGAAGCCGCCAGAGCCTGGACTCCAACCCAGGTCTTCCGATGTCACGCTGGCTGTGCCACGCTGCCTGTCCGTGGAGGACTCCGTGTGTGTGTGTGTGTGTGTGTAAACAGGATGGTGCTGGGCCAGGGACCCAGCCAGGCTGGAGAGGGGGCACCAGCAGAGAGCCTGAGGCCACATTCACAGAGCCTGGAATGGCAAGGGTAGGCAGCCACGGCGCCCGGCTGACGGCCCCTCTGTTGGTGTTGCTCGGCTCTAGAGGCGTGATTACGACCGGCCGTGGGCTCCCTGCAAGCTTCCCACGGCGTTCGGCATCCGGCATCCGCCGCAGCCTGGCACCACCGGAAGCAGTTGGAAGAGCACCCAGGAGGCCCGCCTCACCCCCCACACAGGAAGGCCTGGGGAGAGGGACTGGAGCTTGCCGGGACATTATCTGATGGGGATGACAGAGATAAAGAGCAACTGCGGGGCAGTGGCCAGGAACAACAGAGCCTCAGGAAGAGGGAAGGGGCGGGGCGCTGGCCACCAGGCTGGGGGTGGGAGCTTCCCCTCGACCCCAGCCATGCCCTCCCCTCCTTGTCATTCTTGAAAACGGCACAAGACACTCACAGGGCCCAGAGACAGGCAGGAGAGAGGAGAGAAAACCAGACAGAAAGGAGAGGCTGCCGGGGACCAGGCCTGGGAATCCCACACCTCCGGCCTCTCCTGCCAGCCTGGGCCATCACTGGGGCTTGGTGCCGTCCAGCTGAGGGCAGGAGGGCTGAGCCAGGGGAGTGGGAACGCAATCCTGGGACTTGGGGAATCTGTGAAACAGGAGACCTTGCACGGGGGTCCCAGGCCGCCCGCCCTCTCTGATCACTTCCGTGGGGTTGCGCCTGGGCATTCAAAAACCAGCAGGAACAAGTGTGTCTGGAACGGTGTGCTGCCGCCCCAACCAGGAAGCCGCAGGTGCAGCCTAGAGCCAGACGGAAATGAGCTTCTGGCCCGTTGAAAACAGCCTGGTCAAGGGCCCTTCCAGGACTGTGGGTGAGGAGAATGACAGACTGATTGTGTCCCAGGCATCTGGCTTGGAGGATGGAGAGTGAGTTGGAATCTGAAGACCGGGCTGCAGGTCTGCCTCTGCCACTGCTCAGCATTGTGGCACAGGGTCAGCCACTGCGCGTAGCCCCTCTGAGCTAACAAAAAAAGGGGGGGGTGGGCACAGCAAGCTCTGCCTGCTGGGGAGACAGTGCGGTGTGACACTGGAGCCTCCTTAGCCCACTCACTGATGCCCCCTGGCCACCTGCAGCTCCCCCTCCCTGCTCACCCACTCCCTGCCGGCCCTGGGCTTCCGCAAGAGCAGTGCTGGTCCCTGAGAGCTGTGCCCAGCAGCAAGAGTGCAGAGACAGGGTCGGCTCCTGCGTCTCCTGGCCCTGTCAGCCTCTATTTCTGTGGCAGGGCTTGGGGCGGGGGGTGGCCCTGAGAGGCTGCCCAGTGATGGCCACCTGTAGCATCCCGACTAGAGTGGCGACAAGGACCCGAAAGTCCTGTCCCCTAGACAGGGCAGGAAGCGGAGCAGAACTGAGCCAGGATCCCGTGTCTTTGGACTTGACAAGGGCCAGCAGAGCGTGGCCTTGATCTTCCCTCCCTGGTAACTCAGTCCACCTAGAGGAAGTCCTCCCTGGGGCCAGGGGACAGCCAGGCACAGCCGAGGAAGTCTAGTTGTCCATGTTAAAATGGCCGAGAAATGACCAAGGTGCTTCTCAATGACTCCACAGAGGAGGTACAAACGGGGAGGGGTGCTCTGCTGGAGGTGCCTGCCCAGCCACCTTTGCTATGTGACCTTGTGCCCCCTCTCCCATGCCCAGCCCCACCAGCCCTGCCAGCCCTGGTACGCGGCCTCACCCAGACAGACACGTGATCACCTTGACCTAGTCCTGCCTGGGGCACCTGCTTCTGTGAAAAGAGGAGAGACTGCCTGGCTCTAAACAGCTGTCTCCCGTCCTACAGGGCTGGGGAGAATGCTGAGGTCTCACCCACAGTACCCACCAGGGGCCTCAGGGGTCCCTCTGCCCAGCAGGAGTGCTCAGAACGACCCTCCCTCTTCCCTGGCTGCCCAGCCTGGAGGATCACTTTCCCAAAAGAACCAGAGATGGGGAGAGAGGCACCGAAAATCTTCCTCCATGAGGAAGACATAGAGGTGTCCCCAGCTCTCAGCCACCCCCAAAGGGACAGGCAGCCCCTGTGAGCTAGGAGAGCGTGGCATTCCGAACTCAGTTCCCAGGCTGATGGGCACGGGGTGGCCTAGACCAGGGAGGCTGCGGAGAGGATGCCCCTCTAACTCGGGCCTTCGTGCCCTCCACTCTGACACAGAGCGGGGGAGCAGACGAGCCTGTCTTTGGGGAGATCCTGGTCTGGGGTGAGACCACTTGTCAGAATGAGGCTGGGGCTGCACCCTGAGCGTGATCTCGTCCCCATGAGCACCCAGAGACAGCACCCTAGGTGTTGGCTGAGCCTGCAGTCTGTGGACTGGAACACCCCTCCTGGATCCCGGCATGCCCAGCTCGCTCCTGTTATGCAGATGTCAGCTCCGACGTAATCAGGTTGAGAGGGGGCCTTTCAAACAAGGGCCCTGTCTGCTGTGAGACTCCCAGCAGGCTTCTGGCACGGGCTGAAAGGCAACCGGCTCCTGGGGGCAAAGACAGATGCTTTCTGGGAGACAGACCAGAGCCCCGCTCCGAGCGAAGACTGGGCGTGTATTGTGTTCCAGGGCCTGCAGGGGCCAGCACCTTGGGGAGCAGGTCTGAGGGTGGTGGGGGCAGGAACACGCAGGACTGGATCTGATCCAGTGAGGACGAGGGAGTCACACCGGAGTTGGGGCTGGGCAAGGCTTGCAGACTAGAGGGAATCTAAGAGAGAGTGAACAGGCAGACACTGGACCTCAGCGAGCCTGAGGCTGCCATATGGGAGAGGTGGGGAGGGGGCTGGCCAAGGCAGGAAAAACTCTCAAAGGCATCTCTCTGCCCTGATGCCTCCGAGATAAGGGGCAACTGTTCAGGGTGGTTAGACAGGTCCCCGGGTACCAGGAAAAGCCCTGACCTTTTGTCTGAGTGCCCCTTCCTTGATAAAGCACACAGCATCCATTCTGCCAGCCACAGGCACTTGGCTCTCTTTCCCCTGAACCATTTCCTCCTCGTGGTAGGCAAGATTTTCCTAAGGGAGGTTTTCTTCTGGCCATACTCTGACACCCCCTCCCTGCCTCCCAGCCCCCTCTCAAGACCCCTCAGTCTGTGCTAGAAGGTGGGGTGGAGGATGGGGGAGGGGCTGGTGCTGGCCCAGGCAGTGAGGGCTCAAGTCCTTCATATCACCCACTCTCAGGCCCCCGGTTCTCCACGCGCAGCCCCTCCAGGACCTGCTCTATCTCGATGGGGGCCTCCTGAAGCCGCTGTAAGCCAGGAGCCCTCAGCATAGGCTAGGCAGGACCTGGGCAGGACCCCTGCAGCCGGGGACTCTGCCTGACTCTCCTCCCCTCCCTGTAGTTCGGCGCCTCCCCCACGCTCCCCACTCCCCCGCAACAGCTGGCCCTTGAAGATTTGTGGATGCAGCACCCACTTACAAGTCACAGCCTGGCGTGCTGGCCGGGGAGCACTAATGCTGGACAGCCCACCCTTGCGAGCTGTAGCATTCTGAGATGCGGGCCTATGGGGTGGAGGGGTAGCTTTCAGGGCTGGTGGAGGTTCTGTTTGTTGGGAGGAGCCAGGGGCTGTGATGAGAGCTGCCCCTCTGCGACAGTGAGCTGGGTGGTGGGAGGCTCGTGGAAGTCCGCTTGGCACGTCACCCAAGGAAAGGCTCTTGGGGACATTCTGTTTTGGGGTGGCAGGACCGAGGCTCAGACTTTAAACCTGAAGCACTGGCAGGACCTGCCTTCTCCTCCGCTCCCACCCCAAGGTCCCGGCACTGCCTTCGCGGGAGTGGCCACAGCCAGCAGAGGAGGCTCATCTCGGCCCGGCTGCGGCTGGAGGCTGATGATTCATTAAATAGCCCAAGAGGGCGTGGCCTGAGCACCTGCTTCTACAGACAAAGGCCCAGGTTCGACTCCCAGCCAGGCCTCTTAGCAGTGGTGTGAAATGGGGCAAGTGCCTTGGTCTCTTTGGGCCTCCGCTTTCCCATGCAATGGAGCCAACCACACTGCTGAGGAGACGAGTTGGGCAGTACAGGCAGAACACCAAGAAGCCGGCTTCCCACTGCAGGCCCCTCTCTCTGCTGTCCGTTTAGAGCCCCCTGTTAAGGAAGGAGCCCCTCGGAGATGCGGGACTGCCCCGGAAGAGATGGGCCAGTTAGGGGTGTCACACAGCCGGGCCTGCCACGCTGGCCTTTCCAATTGTCCTCATTCTCCTTCCTGTTCTTTGCGTCACACGTGTTCCTAAAAAGTTCCAGGTGAGGGAGCTTTGGGAAGTCAAGCCACTTTAAAAACAAATACACAAAAACACGTCTGATATTCACAGATACCTTTTCTTCACTTCTAATTAAGTCTCTAGGCAAACGGATCTTGGGTTTTTTAAAAAGATGTTCTGGGGCCCGTGTTGGGGCGCAGCAGGTTAAGCCTCCGCCTGTGACGCCTGCATCCCACATCAGAACTCCAGTGCACGTCCTGGCTGCTCTAGATCTAGATCCCTGCTAACGCACCTGGGAAAGCAGCAGAGGATGGCCCAAGCATCCGGGTCCTTGCCACCCAGGCAGGAGACCCGGATGGAATTCCGGCCTCCCAGCTTTGGCTTGGCACAGCCCCAGCTATTGTGGGCATCTGGGGAGGGAACCAGCAAATGAAAGACCTCTCTCCCTCTCTCTCTGTGACTTTCAATAAATAAACCTTCAAAATAAAACAGATTTTCCGAATGCCCCGTACATCAAGCCCTGCACCAAAGCCCAAGATCCCTGGTGCACCCCCTGGCACACCCCGGAAAACAGAGGAGAACCCTGCGGTTTACAAGAGACTCAGGGGCCAGGGGGCATAACTGCTTGGCGATAGAGAGAGAGTGTTCCCGCAGCTTAAAGGGGCTCCATCTGTACCAACACCTGTGTGCCTCCCCACCAGCGCCAGATTCCAGGGGGGATGGGATACCAGCCCTCGCCCTGGGCATGGAAAGGCCACTCCAGGGGTTTCCCCGGGGGAGCCCAGTTGTGGTTTTGCCCCCAGGCCAGCTGTGTGCTTGAGGCCATGCAATCTAGGAAAGTCCTGGGTTGGGCGCTGGGACCAAGGAAACCATGCAGCAGCAGCCTCTGGCTCCAAGGCATCTGCTCCTGCACACCCGCCTGCTTTCCCAGCGAGAATTCTGCAGCTTTTCCAGAAAGGCCCTGCGGAGGTGGTCCTCCCAGTGTGGGCCAGGAGAGGGAGGCTCTGGGACGGTATCCAAAGGGGGCATCTCTGGGGTGCACACAGGGAGGGCCAGAGCCCTGTCCTGGGGCAGAGGCTGGAGCAGTGCGGGGGTGGGGGTGAGGTGGGAGCCCGGAACAGGGGAACAGGAGGGGCTCCTGGCAAGGTGGGAGTCCCCGCCCCAAGCTCTGGCTGCGACACCCTAAGACTCTCCTGCTGCCCTACTGGTGAGGTCTCGTGTGCTCCCAGGGAGAAGAGCTCTGCCTCCAGGGGCCATCCGGGAATGGGTGTCCTGGCTCCCTCGGGAGCAGGACCACACAACCCACAGCACCTCTCCCCCCGCCCCCACACCCTCCGGGCACCTGGACCGCTGATGTGGAGCTAACCCGGACGGCGGCCGGGCCCTGGGCACCGGGTCAAGCCGCAGGCCAGCCCTGGCGCCCGGCCCTGCTGCCGCCCTCCCCTCTGGGCCAAGTCCGCCCCTGGTGCCGGCTGGGGCCACCGGGGAACCGCAGTCCCTGACCACCTCCGCCCACCCCATCATCCTCTCCCCGGGCGGTGAAGACGAACGAATAATACCGAAGTCGCCCAGGGGTCTCGAGAGAGAGGGCTTTCCGGGGCGATCGGGGCTGGGGGCGGGGGCGGGGGCAGCTCCGGCCGCGGCGACACTCACGTCCTCTTGAAGACGCCTCCGAGGGCGCTGCCAAGCAGGAGGCAGAGCTGCTGGGAGAAGAAGACCCAGGAGATCTGGGGCAGCGAGCTGTGCGTCTGGCAGCGCAGGTCCAGCAGCGTGGGCCCCAGGAAGGCGAGGCACAGGCCGAAGCTGAAGAAGGCGCTCCAGTAGGTGAGGGTGGGCTGCAGGTTGCGGCGCAGCAGCCCCGACACGCGGCCGTCGCAGCCCATGGCTCGGCCGGCTCGGAGCGAGCCCGGGGCCGAGCGCGCGTCGCCGCGGGAGGCCGGCCGGGCGGGGAGGCCGCGGCGGGCGGGGCGGGGAGGGGCCGCACGCCGGGGGCCCCGCCTTCGGCCGGCCGGCGGCGGGCGCGCTCGGACCCCGCGCCTCGCGCGGCGCGCGCTCCTGCCGGTCCCCCACGCCCGTTCTCCCCGGCTGCGGGGACCACCCACTCCCACCGCTGCAGCCCCTCTGGCCTCTTTATACGGCGTCCCTTCCCCGGACGCAGAGGCCTGAGCGCCCCCTTCGGAGTCCAGGGGTCCAGGCGGGCAGCCCCAGGCCGGAGGGCAGGATCCTCCAGCGCTTCGCCCGGGTTCGGGAGGGCCCCGAGCAGCTCCCGCCGCCCAGACACCCCTGCGCTTCGGCGGTGGGGGAAAGCGGACCCCGCACCCCTTCAGCGCGGGTTGGAGGGGCCTCGCAGCGGGACGCCAGGGCTGCTGGTGCTGCCCGCTTGCTGGGTCCAGAGGGGGACGGCTCGTGTGTACGTTTCATTCTGGAGAGAGTCTGCGCGCCCTGTATTAGCACCGCTGGTCCAGAAAGCCCTGGACACTGGCCAGGCCGGACTTCTGGACCTGCGCGGGAAGAAACAGAGGCGCGCTTCCCTGGACAGGGACAGGGCCCAGGGAGGGAGCGGTGGTAACCTGAGGATCCTGGGAGGAATTGGGAAAATCCTCCAGAAAGAGGGCGTTCTGGAGGAAAGCCTGGGTGGAGTAGGGAGAGTCGTCTGGATCCAGGCCGGTGTCCCTGCTGTCCCTTCCCCCGGTGGCCCAGGCTGGGGGAAAACAGCCAGGGCCTGCTTCCTGCACGGGTCCCTGAGGCAGAGCCAGAAGGCTGGACCGCATGGCTTCTGTGCAGCTGTGCGGGTGGTGGCAGGAGCCGTGACATCATGTCCCGGTGCCTGACCAGGGCTGCAGGGACTGGGGAGGCGTGGGGGTGGGTGCCCCCAAGGCAACTTGGCATGAGGTGGGGGCGGCCCGCTTGTCTTGCAGCGGCTGCTCCCACCCACAGGGACACCCCAGCATCTTCTCCATTCTTCCCTAGGCTGAGCAAAGAGAGGACCCCCTTGGGGTCCCCGTGGCCCAGCCCATCTGTAGGTGAAAGGTGACAGTCGTCGGCCTGCGTGGTACGCGTGACAAAGTCGTCCCAGAGGAGGGGAATGGCGTGCCCCGATGTTTCTGACAGCCCTCTCTGCCGCCCTGTCGGCATTCCAGGACTGTGGGAGTATGGACTTGGCAGGAATACCTCCAGCTGAGTCCCTTCCCTCTCCGGTGATGACCGTTAGGTGTGTGCCAGTCCTGCCCTTGGCTGAGCCCCCTGCTGACCAGGCCTGGGGACCTGCTTCCACTGCCGGCCAGCTCTGGTTGCAGTGAGGGTTGTGGGCTGACCTGACACGCCGCTCCCTGCACCTGCTCCCCACTGCCCCCGCCCCAGAGCTGGTCTAATTGCTCTGTGCGTGTTCGCCCTCCACACACGATGACCTTGCCCAGGGATCTGCTCCTGCAGCCCACAGCCCTGCAGTTCTTGGTTATTTGCCAGGATGGAGCTTCCAGCTGCATCACCCTGCGGGCTTGGCCCCTGTGGCCCCAGGCGCCATGCCCCGTTACTCCTGGGCTCAGAAAACAGCACCTGAAATCTATGGCCTTTTTTCGCCTGAGCAATTTGAGCTAAAGAAAGGCAGGCTCTGAATCCGAAGTCCTCTGGCCTTCCTGCCTTCTCGTTCCCCAAGTGCAAGGAGAAGACTGGAATTCTCCTTATCTGCACTGAGACCAGACTGGAAAGAGGGAACCCAATTGCCTTTCCTCCTCGCCCCGCGATCTCGTTACCTAGCTCAGAAGACAGAGGGATGCGTGTGGGGTCTTCAGACAGTTCATGGAGACGTGCATCGTGAAAAACCTATGTGTGGATTTCAAAGTTTTTAGAACAAAAACAATTCATGTTTTCCATGAAATTTTTTCCTTGAAATTTTGTTTATTTATTTTCATCTACTTGAAGGCAGAGGGACAGAGAGAGAGAGAGAGAGAATCTTCCAGTACTGGTTCACTCCCCCATCCTTTAACAGCCAGGGCTGTGTCAGGTTGAAGTCAAGAGCCAGGAGCTCCATCTGGGTCTCCCATGTGGGTGACAGGGACCCAAGCACTTGAGCCATCGTTTGCTGTTTCCCAGGATGCACTAGCAGGAAGCTGGATCAGAAGCGAAGGTGCCGGGACTCAAGCCGGCTCTCCAAAGGGGATGTGGGCGTCCCAGGCAGCAGCTTAGGCTGCCACCCCGCAGCACCTGCCTCTCGCCCCCACAACTGTTTGGAGCACGCTGAATGGACTTCCATTAGAAGACAATGTCTGTCCTTTGGAATCATCTAGACTCCAAAGAAATTGTCTCTGGGGCCATTTATTCCCCTGATAATCGTTTGCAAGCCATCAAAACTGCCCACAGTCCCAGTTCTTCTCCTCCCCTATAGAAAAGCCGGTGTTCTGTGAGTAATGTTAAGCAGCTCCCTGCTCCCATAGTTTTGACTTTTTGGTAAATTAAGAAATCTGCTGGGCCGGCGCCATGGCTCACTAGGCTAATCCTCCGCCTGCGGCACCGGCACCCCATGTTCTAGTCCCAGTTGGGGTGCCAGATTCTGTCCTGGTTGCTCTTCTTCCAGTCCAGCTCTCTGCTGTGGCCCAGGAGGGCAGCGGAGGATGGCCCAAGTGCTTGGGTCCCTGTACCCACATGGGAGACCGGGAGGAAGCACCCAGCTCCTGACTTCAGAGCAGCGCAGCTCTGCCCATAGCAGCCATTAGGGGAGTGAACCAACGGAGGGAAGACCTTTCTTTCTGTCTCTTTCTCTTTCTCACTATCTAACTCTGCCTGGCAAAAAAAAAAAAAAAAAAGCCTTCTTTTTCCCCTATCCATCTTTGTCCATTTGTTCTAGCGAATCTTCAGGGGGTGGAGGGGTAATTTCTCTGCCCCTACGGGTTTGGTGTTTGTGGGTGGAGCTTCTGGCTCCTGGCTTCCGCCTGGCAGAGGCCCAGCTATCCAAGGCATTTGGGGAGAGAACCCAGTAGATGGAAGGCCTCTCTTTCTCTTTCTCTCTTTCTTTCTCTTTGTCACTCTGCCTTTCAAGTAGATGAAAATAAACTTTTTTCAATGAGAAAAAGTTTCATGGAAAAACTGAAATTAAAAGATAAATTTACCAGGTCAGAGCTGTAGCGTAGAAGGTTAAGCATCCCTCATGGATGCTGGTTTGAGTCCCGGCTGCTCCACTTCCAATCCAGCTCCCCGCTAATGCACCTAGGAAAGCAGTAGAAGATGGCCCAAGTCCATGGGCCCTGCACCCAGGTAGGAGACATGGAGGAAGCTCCTGGCTTCAGATCAGCCCAGCCCTGACTGTTGTGGCCATCTGGGGATTGAACGAGCAGATGGAAGACCTCTCCCTCTCTCCCTCTCTCCCTCTCTCTCTCTCTCTCTCTCTGTCTCTCTCTCTGTCTCTGTCTCTCTTTCCTCTCCCTGTATCTCTGCCTTTCAAAAATAAATAAATAAATAAATAAATAAATCTTAAAAGAAAAAAAAGAGAGACAAAAGAGCTGAAAGTAGCAAAAGTCAGTTTAAAAAAATAAGTTTACTTTGGTCCAAAAAATTATGAAGTCCCTGCAAGGCACTGTGCTGTCCTGGAGGCCACAGTCAAGGGTCACAGCGTGACAGGTCAGCCAAAGGGGAAGTCTTCCTTATCAGCCCCCCCCCCCCATGGTATCTGGAATCTGATGGAGCAGAAGGTAAAAATCTCTACTTATCTCTCTTCTGTTCCAAACTTGGATTAATAGGTGAAAAGCCTTTGATTTATATGGATTAGCCCGTAGGTTTAGTGACGCTGGTGCATTTTGATTGGAATCCGCCTTGTCTGATCCCTTTCCTCCAGAAATAGCCTCTGTTTTCCTTTGTCCTTTATCCTTCCGGTCAGGAGAGGGTTGGTGGGGTAGAACACAGATGTAAAGTCTGTATGAATGAAGAAATAGATCTTTTTAAAAATGTTCATTGAAAAATGAAATGTAAGGTTTTTCTTTTTTTTTAAGAAAAGTCCCACAAATAAGGGCCATTTGTGATCTGAACTCTCCTGGCCTGGTTAGTGGAGGGAAAGTCCAGCCCCAGGATCCCCTCCCCAGTGTCACAAACAAGCAAGCGTGTGAGGGGAGGCGCCCCCAGGAGCCCATGTTTGTGTGACCCTGGAGTGCTAGACACACACTGCTCATCAGCCTTAACTGTCGGTAGTAACAGGACTCTTCCGGCTTTTTTGAGTCTATTTCTTTTAATGTTTGTTTATTTTTTAATTTGTTTGAAAGACAGAGAGAGAGAGAGAGAGAGAGAGAGAGAGAGAGAACTCTTCCACCTACTGATTCATTCCCCAAATACCTGCTGCAGCTGGGGCTGGACCAGGCGGAAGCCAGGAGCTAGGAACTCATGCAGAGTCTCCCACATGCATGGCAGGGGCCCAAGTACTTGCGCCGCCGCCTGCTGCCTCCCAGGGTGTGCATTTGCAGGAGTCTTGAATTGGAAGCAGAGCTGGAACTGCAATCCAGGCGCTCTGATATGGTAGACAGGCATCCCAAGCAACAATTTTACCACTGTGTCAGTGCCTGCCCCTTGGGAAAACATTTATGTTTAAAAAATGTTTTGGAGGGGGCAGTGCTGTGGCGAAGTGGATAAAGCCACCGCCTGCAGTGCCAGCATCCCATATGGGCGCCTGTTTGAGTCCTGGCTGCTCCACTTCTGATCCAGCTCTCTGCTATGGACTGGAAAAGCAGTGGAAGATGGCCCAAGTCCTTGGACCCCTACACCCCTGTGGGAGACCGGAAGAAGCTCCCGGCTCCTGGCTTCAAATCAGCGCAGCTCCAGCCATTTTGCCATCTGGGGAGTGGACCAGCGGATGGAAGACCTGTCTCTCGTTCTCTCTGCCTCAGCCTCTCTGTAATTCTGCCTTTCAAATAAAATAAATAAATTTTAAAAAATATTTTGAGAGTTCTCATTTTAAATATCTTAAACACT